ACCAGGGGGATGGGTTGGGTCACAGCCATGTGCAGTGGACACACAGCACCAGTACAGAGCACACTGTTCTGCTCAGAGCATGTCTTTAGGGCCAGCCCTGCTCAGAAAGGTGGGGAGGAGTTGGGCTAAAACTCAGTTCTCATGGCAGGCTTGGAGAAGAGGGATCAAAGCTTCCCTGCCCCTCCCTGGGGAGGACCAACTAGTTTCTAGACCTTGCTTGAGGAGACAAGGAGGCAGGAGCACAATGGAATGTGAGAGAGGTCATTGAGCTTTGAGACCCTCACGTTGAGGTGTCGTTTCTGACATCAACACGCAGCCCACTTGTGGGTGGTCTCTGTCCCTGCCTTCCTCCTCACACTCAGGCAGACACCCAGGACCCTTAGTCAGGAGGGGAGGGACAGTGAGCATATAGCACATGACCTGGAAGTGCGAGCTGATTATGGTTCCTCACCCTCCACTTGTGTGCTGGACTCCTGGGTCATGGTGGACATAACGGGTGGTCCTCATTGTCAAGAGGATTCTCATTCTAGGATGCTAAACAGAAAGGCCAGCATGAATCAGGGCAGCACAAGAGTGCCCCACTGCTCAGTGCACAAGTGGAGGGAGGAGCCTTGCTCACAGCCTGCTTTGTGACCCTGAGCTGGTGGGCTACACCAGCTGCCTAATCTTCAAACCAAAAATAACAGTGCCTAACACCTCATAGAGATGTTAGGGGATTCAGGGAGAGAGAACAGTGCCTGGACAAGGAAACACTGATGCATTGGATAAATGGCTGCGTAAATCCACCAAGGTGTGGCCATTAAAGTCCTGTGCACAGAGGATGGTGCCCCCAAAAGCCCACAGTTGAGGCCTGGTCCCCAGTGGACTGTTGGGGTATGGGGACCTGTAGAAGGAGCCCTCCAAGAGGGAGTGCTCCAGGTCCCTCTTGGTATAAAGACACTGTCAAATTATGTTAGGACCATCCTGTGATGTAACCTCGTCTTAGCTAATTACATCCTCAGTGATTGTGCTGTTGAATTCCGAGAAGCCAAGGCTTAGAACTTCCATATAAAAATCTAGGGAGAGAAAATGTGACCCATAATACTCTCAAGAGTGTGTCCGTAGAAATTTACAGTTGGAAAAGTGGCATAAAGCTCACTGCGTGTGCACGTTAGCAGAACTAGACACTTGCTTAGTTTATCCCTTTTACCTCTCAGATGAGACACTGAGCCCACCCTCCCCCGTGTGGCCTTCGGAGGCTCCATGGCCTTTGAGACTAAGGCTAGTGTCCCCTGAGGACCAGATTTCCTCATTCTAGAGTTCCGAATGCATCTGCATCCCCCACTTCCTCCAGCATGGGATAATAATGTGCTAAGCACCTACAGCAGGAGCCGAGTGTACAAATGTCAGTGGCACTGTCCCCAGCCTCAGGCTCTCGGCCTCACGGGGAGACAGTCATGTAAACACAGGGAACAAGAATCCGAAGTCAAAATGCCTGTGGCCTGTTCCATGGCCCACTGTGGACAATGGGCAGGTGAACCACAGAACCAAAAAAAGCTAAAGGATGATTCATTCATTGACACAGAAAGAAATGAGAACAGGGGGTGCTCTGCCCCCAGAGTGAAGGCCAGAATTTTCTGGAGGAAGAAACCAAAGAAGAAAGAAACAAATGGTGACCTTCGCACACAAAGCCCTAGGGATAGTCAACAGACAGGCAGGGAACCAGCTTTTCTGTCCATTGATGAACCTTTACACTTGTCAGACTTGAAGAGTCTTGGGATTTGTGTTTGCTTTGTCTGTGACACCATATGAAGGCATAGCAGCTGGAAGAGTCTGGATGGTTTGGGCTGCACATTTGTTTATTACACATTATAATTCACTCAGTAATAGAAATGTGTGCAAAATAAGGAGATGATCCCAAAAGAGCAACTGTGGTCATGAGTGGTGGGTCTCAGAGCACCTACCTGACTGACCCCTCAACCAGGGAGCAGAACTCAGGGTGTGGGTCCCTAGAAACACAACCCGTCATCTGTGTGGGACTAGCCCAAAGTGTCAGGAGCACATGTAATACGTGTTACTACTGCCCAGAGTAAGTCTGAGTTCTCAGGTCTTCTGTTCCACTGAGCTTTGTAAGTTATGTCTGCACAGCTCTGGCAACTTAATGGAAGACGTACCGGGCTCCCGTCCTAAAGGCCTCTGTCCTGGGGCCCCGGCCTTGTAGTGTTTGCTTTGGAGCTGAGTCACAGGCCCCCCCTAGAGCAGAGTGGGGTGCCTGGGAGCCCTTAGTCAGGAGCGTACAGTACAAACATCCACCCCTCCCTGCCCCGACCTTACTCTCTGCTCTTAGTCAAATGTGTTCAGTCTAGATAAAAGAGGACCCAAGTTCCAAATAACCTATCTTAAGGTGTTTCCGGAGAGGAAAAGTGAGTCTGGAGTCCAGAATAATAAACATGCTCGCTCCTGGAAGGTTGCCACAGGCTCTAAAGAGCTGGTACACAGGATTTCCCTCTTCCCGTCTCCTCCATTGGAATGCCTATAATTTTTGAGGAATGATTGAAGCGTTGATTTTCCATTGACTCTGTTTGCTAAGGCCTCAAAAACCAAACGTGGTGCCAAATCCTACCTGCAGCAGAAAGTGGGCTGGTCACATGGTAGGTACCACCAACAACCGCTCCTCCAGCACCTGTGTCTCCTTCACATCTCCCTACAGACCACACTGCAAGTGACAAAGGAAAGGGGTGTGTGCTGTGTACAGAGTGAAGTAGATTCCTAAAGAAACGCAAGCATGAAGCCACTGGACAGTACGTGCTGAGGACCTGGGAAGGGGCTCAGGTTCCACCCAAGAGCTCCTGCAGCATGGCCAGGCTCACCAGGACCTACAAGAGACATAAGTCTGAGGCTCTTCCTCTTACCCAGTCATCAGGAACAGGTGGCCACTTCCATCTGGGCTTCAGATCTTTGTTAAAGAAGCTTAGGGGCCATCCCAGGAGGACGGCCTTGGGAGTTGGGCCATTTGTTCTGGAAGTTACTTTAGCAGCCATCAGGACACCCAGCAAGGGCATGCTAGGTGCTAGGAACTCAAAGGCCTGAGGTCAGATCTCTGGGCTGAAAGATCTAGATTAAAATTGAGGGTCAGGCAGCCCCGGGGGATCAGAGAGGACACTTCAGCTAAGCTTGGCCATCTGCCTTCAAATCCTATTTCCAAAACTCAGCCACGGGGCTAAGCTGCCCTGCCTACTTCAGCCTGGGCTCCTCGTGGGTCAGGCTGCTGAGTAGGGGGTGGACAACAGGCACACTTGCTGCGTCTGCTGCATGGTGAGGAGTACAGGTGCCTGTGGACCAGAAATCCTGAGCCTGACTCCGCATTAAAGCATGACAGTTACCCAAAAACAGGCTATGTGCCATGAGAATCCATGCAGAGCATTTGGTCAGATTGGGTCTTTGCAAACAGAAGGGTTGGCCAAGCTGCCAGGGAGAGTTTGGAGGGGACCCTGGGCTGTAGTCCACACAGACCAGTTCCTAAGGCTCTGTTCACATCACTGCCACAAGCATGGAGTGGAAGGGCTGAAAGGGTCAGGCCACAAGCCATCAAGTGTATGTCCCACTGTCTCCTGTGGGGAGAGGGCGTCCCCTGACTCTGGACAGTGAGACTGCAGGGATAGGTTGCCACAGCATCTCAGGGTGACCTTGTGCTGCCCTTCAGCTCACTCTTGCTCTTCTGCAGGCGGAGCCGTTGTCCGGGATGAGACATAAGCCCATCCCAATGAGGACGGACTCAGGGAGGAGGGTGTGACTGTCAGCAGAGCTCACAGGAGGAGTTAGTGCCAGAGAGGTGCTCAGGTGCAGAACACAGGGGCACACCTCTCTGAGACCTGACACAGGAGCTGGCAGGAGTCCTGGGTCCACATCCCTCACCTCCCCTTCCCTACCCTCTGCTCACCGGCTCCTGGCTCAGGCCAGCAATTCCAACTCACAACAAGGAATCAATCAGGCTCCTCGCCAGTCCTGTCACCCAGGAGAAAACACAGAGCTCCAAGGGCCTTCAGGGTTTGTTTGGAATTAATAGACTTTATTCTTAGAACAGTTTTAAATTCACAGAGGAATTGGACAGAAAAGTACAGCACGTTCCTTTGTCACCCCTCCCACAATTCCCTGATGTTAACATCTCTCAGAATGCTTTGTGCCCACGTTGACACATTGGGACTAATCTGTCTGTCACTGGGTCACTTTGCTTCCGTGTGCAGCCAGGGTGGAGGGCATAGCTGTCATCACAGCATCATACGGAATGACTTCACAGCCCCAAAGTTCCCCGTGTCCCACCTACTCTCCCCACCCCCTTCCAACCTTAGGATTTTGATATAAGTTACAAAGTGAGGAGAGGGGTTAGGCAGAAATAATGGACAAAGCAGAGTGCTTTAAGTGGCTCCAGGTGAAAGAGTTGTCGTCTTTTGTAGGCCAGGTGAGGGTGTAGAGAACAGGAGGAGGTCAGGCTGTGCGTCCCCAGGCATAGGCCTCCCAAATCCCTCATCCTTCCCAGTGTACCTCTCTCCCCATAAAACTCTGCAACAGCCTTCCAGGTGCAGCACAGCTGTCCCCTTCTATCCTGCTGCGTTTTGTGGGATCCTGGGGGTCCTGACCAATGCTGCAGCCTGAGTATTGCAAGTGTTGGCCTGTGGCCATGCCAGCCACCCACCCCTCTTCCTGTGTATCCAGGCGTTCCCACACCTGGAAGCAGGAAGCTCTGAATCACCTGTCTCACCTCCTCTTTCCCACCTCTCACCTAGCCCTGCCTCAAGCTACCTCCTTTTCTCAAGCCCTCAGGGTTGAATGGGGACTTCCCGGGCCGTGAGGCCAAGGGCAGGTGAGCAGGTGCCCTGGGGCAGAATCTCCTTCCCACAGGAAGACCATGACAGGCTCTGCCCTGCATGTTCCCCTTCCTCCACCCTTCTGTATTAGGAGCTGTGAGAGATAACACCTGACTTTGGATTTATGATGAGTAATCTGCTTTGTTGTTGTGACAGGTGCTGGCATTGACGGAGTGGAGGAGATTAAGCGTCATCCTTTCTTTGTCACCATAGACTGGAATGTAAGTTGCATGCCATGGTCTCTACTGCACACACAGGACAGGGGCAGGGTGGAGGGAGGATGGCAGCTGCTGTGCGCACAGCCACCTGCAGGTAAGAGTGCTCAAGACTCTCTGAATGGCTGGCTCTCCAGAGGCACAGCCTGGCAACCACCACCTGCCCACTTGGCCCTGAAACCCCTATAACTCTCCCTTGCTCATTTGGAGACAGAGCGTGCACTGCCCTGCTCTGCCAAGACGTCATCTCTGTTTGGAAGGTGACATCAATGACAGGCTGCAGGAATACACTGGAAGCAGGGACTGGTCTCCTATCCAAGCTGAACCTCCCTGATATCCGTGCCTTGGTCCTTTCCTTTAGGTTAACACAGCCCACTTACATTTGGGATTTTCTTTCTTGAGCTTACAAATTAATCTCAGAGGATTTTTAATAGAAAAAAATATTGGGCTGAGGCTGTAGCTCGGTGGTAGAGTTTTTGCCTACCAAGTAGAAGGCCCTCAGTTCCATCCCAAGCACTGGGGGAAAAAAAGCTCTTTCTACAGCAAAGGGCAGAGTTTATTATCTATTCCGTCCTCCCTCCGTCTTTACTGTGTCTTCACCAGCCTCAAGGAATCTCAGCCCAGGTCTTCCCTTGGAGAACCCATTAACACAAAACTGGATAAAACCAGCTCTCACAAGCCTCCCAGCCTCTCACAACCAGCTTTCCTCCTCTTTTGACCTGAGTCCCACTCACACTGGCTAAGACTGGGGAATATCTGAGCCCGGGTTCCATACTTCTGATTATAGAACTTGTTAAAATGAGCCTCCTTTCAAAGGTAAGGTTTGGGGAAAGGCTGTGAACTTGCAGTATGCCCATGGCTCCCAGCAGGTGGAAACCACTGTTCAAAGAGCAAAGAAAAATCAGACTGGTTCCCTCCACCCAAAAAAAACAAAAGAGTACAGGGCCTTCCAGAAGCAAAACCATATCTCCCTGTGCTTATCTGTGCTGGAAAGTTAGCCTGGTGAGAGGCTCTGACCTCCTGCGTCACAGATCATCTTCAGTTGATGGTCTTCAGTTGTTGTGTTTTCTAGGGGGACTTCTGCACATGGAAACTGGCTGGCAGACAAGCCTGTCTCACTGACAGTGCTCCTCTTGTCACTCCAAGGGACAGCCCTGGGGAGGGGATATGCGTGGGTGATTCAGGGCTCCCATCGGGCATCAGGGTAGAGCTGCACAACTCCATTCGGTTCTCGTTCACTTGCTCGTCATTCAACCACGCGTGTTGGCATTCCCAATTCTTGAACTGGGGATCAAGCACAGCACACAGAAAAGCCTGACTGAGGGAGAGGGGGATGGGTTGATAATCCCATGGTAAAGAGAAGCGATTAACAGATGGATCTGCACCGTATTGCAGGAGAGCAGAGCACTGTGCTGCAAAGGAGAAGAAGCAAGTTGAGAAAAGCAGGCAGTGTGCCCTTGACCCCACCTGCTCCGTCCTTCCAGTCTGTTCCTCAGCAGCACTTGTGAAACCTGACCTCCAGCCCTCCCACTTTATCCCCTCCTGGTGACCCTGGCCCTGTGTGTCTGTTCCCAAACCCCCGTCAGCTTGGAGGACCCCATGATGTCAATGGCTTCTGGTGTTTGGTGTTTCTCTCTCCTGCCTCTGGAATGTAGGCTGCAAGAGGTCAGGACTCCCCAGCTTAGAGATGTGCCCCAGACCTTCCCGGGGACGACATGATGAGCACCTCTCAAAGACAGAGTGAGCAGTGAAAAGGAGCGAGCAGCGAAAAGGAGCGAGCAGTCTGGGAGGCTCTCCAGTGGCCCCTCCATTTCCTTTCTCTGTCACACAGCCCTCTCTTCAAAGGCCACACCTGGGGAAATTTAGATGGGACTGCTGAGGGGGACAGGAAGCTGCAGGTGGAAATCCTGAGGGCTGCAGCAGGGAGTTGAGAGAAGTCCCCAGCTATGACCCAGATGATGCCCCCCCTCCACCACCACAGGGACCAGGCTGCGAGTGCTCATCTCAGCCAGAGTGGGCAGTGTACAGATGGGCCTGAGTAGGACAAGGTGCTTGGAACGGCTGCCCTGGGACAGTGATGGATTTCGAGGCTCAGTGAGGTTGGAATAAGGTGCTGTGCAGAGAGCCGAGTCTTTGTGTCTTGGGCTGGAGATGCTTTCCTTCTAAAGCAGTCAGCACCTTTCTTAACCCATGCAGTACCCGGGCTTACTCTGGTCTCATCGTAGCTGGGGAGCAAAGTTCCTTTTAGGCAAACAAGGCCATCAGATTCCTGCACCAAGAAGGTGACATTTTTCTACACCATTTGAAAGCAATCAAGCTAGAATAAGGTTGGGGAATTCCTTTCACTTCTCTGGGTTTTGGTTCTGTTTTGTTTGGGTTCTGAGGGAGGCTCTTCACTTCATGAGGATGAGGCACGTTTGCTCTAGCTTGTGTTCTCATCAGAGGATGCCAGGCAGCAGGATCTCATTCAGTCCAGCTCTCTGAATTAACAGAGCCTGAAAATGGCAGAGGAGCGCTGAACTACCACCCTGTATTAATTCATTGTTCAACAAGTGATGCTTGCTACCTGCCTGGATTGATCAGGAGCACAGTGTCCAGGAAGGCTCCACCGGAAACCAGTGCTGTCCTCAAGTTGCTGGTGCCTGAGGAGTCTGCTGCACCATAGGCTTTGTCTAGTGACAGGAGCATTGTGCAGTGTGGCCATCCAGTGAGACGGGAAGAAGGTGGAGGAAGGCACGTGGGAATTAAGTACGAGAGGGTGCGCTTGCCTCAAGATCCAGCCAGGAAAGCCTAAGTGTATTTATTTACTTTTTGCTGCTTTCTATAACCCCAAACTGCCAGCAAAAACCGTGAGTGTGAAAAATGGGTCTTCGAAGGAATTATCTGTGTGCCTTGATGATCTTGGATGCCCTGGAGCCCATGCTGAGTTGACATGAGCCACATCTCTATTTCAGCTGTCCCCTCCCCACACAAGTGACCTGAGGACTGTCCTTGTGTCTGTGGCCACAGCAGTGGCTCTGAACGGCCAGCACACACCGGACTTTAGAAAGTTGATGGACACATGTTTAACAGACTGTCCTATTCAGTGACACGTTTGTGCAGATGTGCCTGTGCCATGTCCCCAGCTCAGAGACCTGGAAACCACAGAAAAACCCCACTTGCAAGGTGTGGTCACACCAGAGTCTTCCCTCTGCAATGTGATGGATGAGAAGACACTCCCTGGCCAGGGGATTTTAGCCTGGGGACTATACCAAGCGCTTGCCTCAGGATCCAGCCAGGAAAGCCTAAGTTTATTTGTTTACTTTTTGCTGCTTTCTATAACCCCAAACTGCCAGCAGATCCTTTTATACCTGTCATCTACCAGCTGTCCCCTGAGGGCTTGAGTGGCCCACATAGAAGTGTGGGGTGCTGCCTTCTCACTTGCCTTCAGTACATAGCAAATTAGGGTCTGCCTCCTGAAAGTTTACACCGCTCAACTAGCTCAGTGAAAAATGGCAAGTTAGTTGTAGCCGAGGAGCCAGTTAGAGCGTGTGGTGGAACCCAGCAAACAGAAGCTCTGTTTACTTTTTCCTGTGACAAAGGCAATGCTGAGAACACAGGATTAGCACTAACCCAAAATAAGCTTCATAAAAGAGAAATCACACAGGCCACCCCGGCCAGTCCCGGGTGGCTTCCAGGCTAGCCTGGCTCCCTGGCAAGGAGACCTGGGGCAAAATAGCAGATGGATAGGCAGAAAATGATGGTGGATCAGACACAAAGATAAGCCTGTCTGCTTCTTTGATTCCAAAGCACTGTCAAAGCCAGAACTCTCAAAATAACTACTTAGCACGCATGATTGCAGTTACTGTTATTAGTATTACCGCTATTTATTGTTGATACGAGTGACTTGTGCTTGTGTTGGTCTTTTTACATTTCAAAACCCATCTAAGCACATCATCAGCTGCTTCTCTGGAAGGCAAGAGGGACCCCTGGAGAAACTGAGGCACAGAGCAGTGAGAAGAGTGGCCCAGATGGCTCGGTGGTCTGGCAGCATGTTGCTTGGTGCTCTTGGCTATTGTGGGCATTGGCTAGAGCAGGTGGAGGGTAGCAGGTCCCTGTGGTCTTGCTGCCTGCAGGTGGAGTGCCCAGCACTTCACAGGGGTGGATTTCAGGCCTGGGAGCTGACACTGCAGTCAGGTCAGTCATATGCCTCCACCCAGCTGCTGCTCCCACTGCCACAGCACGAGAGCTTGCCCTTCAGGGCCTTCAAGGACACTGTGCATTGAGATTGCCCTTTGGTTTAGCAGTTCTGTAAATCCAGACATTTGCACAAAATCACTTACCATTGGATGAACTGTGGGCAAGCTCCACCCAGGGACTGCCACCCACCGGCCTCCACCATGCCCGGGGACCATTTTGATTCTCCTGTTGTTCCTTCCATCCTGCATTTGTCTGCATTGCTATTTCAGGAACAGTCTGCCCTGGTGCCCTTTCCCCTATTGGAACAGGTTACTTTTGAAATGCTCAGAAAGCAGATGTGAGGGTCTGCAACCCCAAACTAGCCAGATGCCATTTTTATTTTACCCTCTCAGTCCTTTTCTTACATATGTGAAGGGTTTTGGATATACGTAGACCCCTCACATACACTGGTGTGACATGAAATCCTCAGTGTTGCTGCCAGACACATGCCATCCCAACAGCCTGGAACAAGTGAGATGATTTATAACTGTGAATTGGACCAGGAGACCTATTTTCCTTCCATTGAGAAGGATTATTCCAAGTCTTGCAGAGGGGGATCTGGATCAGAGTTCTAACGTAGATCTCAGCAATCTGTACATCATGCTTGCATTCAAAAGCAGAGGCAAGGTCACCCTTCCCCAAAGCCTTCCATGTGCTCAGGTTTGAATGCAGGGAAAGAAAGAACACACACAGTAACTGCGCATATCAGTGCTTTCCACAACCTTTATGCAGCAAGAAGTGAGCCACCTTCTCAATTGCAGCACAGATCAAGAAAACCACACAAGGGCAGAGCAACTGACCCCAGAGAGCCCCAGGGGAGCTGCACAGAGCTTGCTGCTGCCAAGACCAAACAGAGTGGGCAACCCCAGGGGAAGGAGTGTGTGCTGGCCCCAGTGAACAGCTGTGTTCACAGACGTAATCAGCACATGGACCGTGAAGGGTCCTGCTGCACAGAAGGGTGCTCTATCCTTCAGCAAGGGCTCTGTCACTCTTCACCTTCCTCCTGCTTGCCACGCCAGGATCTCCTTAGCTGGAACAGGGGCTCATGGTAGAGGATTAGAAAAAGTACAGGACAGTAGAAGTGTTCTGCCCAAGCTGCTTTAGAAAGCCCGTGTTGTGCACACCAGACAAATGCATCACCTGGCTCTGTACACACCGTACAAACACACTGTGTGAACAATTGGCTCTGTGACTCTCTCTCTCTCTCTCTCTCTCTCTCTCTCTCTCTTTCTCTTTCTCTCTCTCCCCCTGTGATTTTTGCTTCAGCAGGACAGATGTTCACTTAATAACCCAGCTGAAATATGACAGCAGATAGCAGAATCTGGACAAGGGCAGGGCAGCGGGTCCTGGTGGTGTCTGGTTTTAATCAGGGCACAGTGCCTGCTCATGAGCTTTCTTCCCCAAGCACCTGCACCAGGGAGGTTTTTTCCTCTCTGCACATGCGTCACCACAGAAAGCAGCCTCTTTCTATTTCTGGAAAGGGTTAAGGAACAACTGTTCAAAAGGGCTGGGAATGACCGAGTAAATCAGCCTGAGTTCAGTCGTGGTTTCTGCACCTCCAGGAAGCACCAGCGGCAGGATTGGCCTCCCTGGCCCTCCTGAAAACAGCCCAGGTTCCAATGCCACACTGTAGGTCCTGCAGCTGCCCTGGTTACTGACCCGGCACCAGCACAAGAGGGCGGTGGGTGTGCCCAGAGCCAGTGTCAGGCATCAGTACCCTTGCTGTACCTTCTCCTTAAGTTCTGCAGCCCCTCCCCAGACCCAGCCCAAGCACTCGGTGTTTCGAGAAGGGTCAGGAGACCAGGTTACCCCTTCCTGCCTGCCACCTACTCACCCTTGACTTAGAGAAGTGACTCTTCAGCTCCTAGCCTCAGTTTCCCTGCCTTTTAGAGCAGATTTGTCTGTCACCAAACCTGCCACACAGAGCTGCCCAACCAGTGGAGTCCCCAAATACAGAGCTGAGCCCCAGACCCATCAGGCAGAAGCACCCAAAAAAGGAGCTGGGAATCAGTGGGTTTGCCCAATGCCCTGGGAGCCCCTGGCCAGTGAGAGTAGGACAACTCCATGCTAAATGAGTAGGGGCAGGAAGACCATCTCCTGATGTCCTGCCCAAGATGCTGTGATCTAGTCCTGCCCCTCCCCCAGGCAGCCTGAATGCCTGGTTCTCCCACCACCACCTTGTCTCCTCCTTCACACCATTTCTGTCCTTCCTCCTCGCCATGCTTGGGTCCTCACTGTCTGCAGTGCACTCCATGCCTGGGACCACGCCAGATCCAAATACCTGTGCTGTTTCCTTGCATTAAATCATCCCAACCTTGTTGCCACACTGCTGTGTGCAAAGCAGTTCCTGAAGTAGTTCTGCTAATGCAGCGAGGGCTGTGCCCTCCTATGCAGTCTATCCAAGGTCAGGGTGGTGGGAGGGCTGTGTGAGTGTGGGCTGCACAACTCCACAGGGGCTCTGGGCACATCTTGACATGGTTCCCAGCAGATGTGCCAAGGACCCAGTGCACACTCCTGGGACAAATGGGCAAAAAAAAAGCCCCAGAGCAGTCCTGGGTCTCTGTTTCACAGTGTCCTCACAGGGCGGAAGGTATGGTCCGAGGTGGCAGCCCCAAAGTCACCAGGGCAGGGAGGTACTCATGGCCAGCCTATAGGGTTTTATTTGGATACAAAAATCCTACTGCCAAAAAGAAGTTGGAAAACTGTTGGCCTAACACGTCCCAAATCCTTTACCTCAAACTATGTCTTTTGTGTATTTCGATATACGTGCAACTGTTGCCCTCTGTGTACTATGATGTACATAGTGGGATACAGTAGCAAAGTCTGTACTTTACACATATTCACACATATCTGAGGTGCTGGCAAGGTCAAGGTTGGAACACCTGTAAGAACACCTTTCCCTCCGCAGCAAGTGTCTGGCGCCAGAGCTCTCACAGCCTGTGAGTCAGCCCCTGTCTTGCTCTCCTTGCAGAAGCTGTACCGGAAGGAGATCAAGCCGCCCTTTAAGCCAGCAGTGGGCAGGCCCGAGGACACCTTCCACTTCGACCCTGAGTTCACTGCACGGACGCCCACAGGTGCGTGCCAGTGGCCGTTCTGCCTAACAAGAGCCTCTCCCACCTGACCCCTTAGGACAGATGCAAGGAGGCAGAGCTCCTGTGTTCGAGATGCTCCTGCTGGGACATAGTTGCCACTCCTGCTTGAGTTTTGGGCTTTCTGTGCTCAGCAGTAAGGTTTCAGTGACAGAACCAATTCCCTGCTGTTCCCCAGGTGATACCCACTTCAGAAGCCATTAAGGAGTTGCATGCTTCCCCCTGTTCTGAGTTGCTAGGCCATGGCTGTCTCTCCCAGGCACACACAGGCAAGAATCAGGAAGGAAATCTGAGACAATGCATTCTTCTCATTTAAGGATAGTCTCCGTGGACCAGGGCAGCTTTTATTAGGTCTGGATTTGTGAACTATATTTATTATTCATGTAACAACCAGAAACCTGTTTGAAAAGTCAGAGCATAGCAAGTGGGCACCTGACCTTAGTTTCATGTTATGTCTAAGATTACCCTTGGGGTCTATTAAGATCAGTCAGAACTGGCCAGCCCTCTTTGGAAGTTTCCATTTTGTGATATTAATGAATTAGGGTTTACTTTTTACATATGGTAGCTATCTCAGTTTACTCGCACTGCCATTACAAAACACAGGGAGGCAGCTGAAGGAGGCTAGAAATACACAGTCAATGTGCTGTCAGGGTTGGTTCCTGTTGAGGCCTCACCTCGTGGCTTTGCAGATGGCTAACTCCCTGTGCCCCATGACTTTTCCTCCATGTGTGAGAAGAGCCGGAAAGCTCTGGAGTCTTCCTTTTCTCATAAGGACACAGGTCCTGTGGGATTGGGACCCATCCTCCTGACCTCATTTAACCTCAGCCCCAAAGGCCCTGTTGCCTAAAGCAGTCATGTTGAGGTTGGAGTATCTCCAGCCACAGTAGTGGTGGTTGGTGGCTGTGTGCAGAGCAGGTCACAATTCTCTCAGCAGACTTGAGTGGAGGATCAAGTTCAGGGGTTGTGGAGGCAGGTGTGCCTTTGCTTCTCTTGCTGCCTTTGAATCTGACATTTTCGGTGATTTTTGAAAGATAATCATGAGACAGATAGTCAACTGCAAGTAATAAGTGGCCAGAGTTGGAGCAGAGAATCCACTTTGTCCCCTCCGGGTCCAGCTACTGGTGAAATGCCTGTCTGTGACAGACAGACGTGGGCCATGTGCAGGCACAGAGGGCTGCAGGGCTCAGTTGGACTTGGCATGGGCCTGAGCGCAGCTCCTGCCCAAAGCAGCCTAGCTGGAAGGGCAGGAGGTGCTGGTTCAGTGCGCTAGGCACCAGATGTCATGACACAGATGGCTCACTCTGTCTTCTGGGCCACCTCATCCTCAGGAGAAGCCAAAACTGTCATCAGCAACAAGGCTTGAGTGACATGACAATTGCCCTTGAAGTTCAAGTTCAAGGTCATCAGTACTGCATCCTAATGAGGCTGGCAAGGAGAAGAAAACCTGCGCAGGCTGGGGTCAGTCCTTCTCATTGACAGAATTAACCCCTTCACCAAAGAGAGATACTGTTAGCCACAGAGGTCGCAAGGATCAGAAACGCCTTGGAGATTTCACCCTGGCTCTGCCATGGTCACCTGAGGCAGGCAAGCATTTCTTCTCCTGTGCCTGACCTGAAGGTAAAAGACACAAAAGTAATGGCTCCAAGTAGGAGAAGCTGCTGTGAGTCTGTGTTGATTGTCCATACAGGCTCTCCACACAGACTGTCCCACAGGCTCTCCATGCAGACTGTCCCACAGGCTGTCCACACAGGCTGTCCATATAGACTGTCCATGCCGACTGTCCATACAGGCCATCCACACAGACTGTCCATTCAGGCTGTCCATGCAGGCTGTCCACACAGACTGTCCACACAGCAGAGTCCTTTATAGGGTGAGCTGCACTTACCCTCATGTGAAGCGGGTGTTTAAAATACTCAGAGAAGACACAGTTGTGCTGCATGTGAGAAGATGCTTTGCCTTCAGCTCTCAATTCCTCACATGCATGTGTGGGTTATATTACTCGTGAGAATTTAAATTCCAGCTGAGGTGACAATGTGACCATAAGCGTCATAAGCACTTTGTGCACAGAAAGAATTCAATTTCATTTGAATTATTACCTTAAGGAAAACTCATTAGACACACAGCACTCCAGTACTGTGCCAGAATTAACTTTCTATTCCTTACTGTTGTGAATTCTCCAATCAGTTTTAAAGTTAACTCATCATACTGTGCAGTTTGCCTTTGGGGTAGGCAGTAATTGAAGTACTAAAGATGCATAAACGTCACCCTGATTGATCTGGAAGGGTGGGATTTTCTAAGCAGATGAGCCCAATGCACAGCTGGGTTACAGGGCAGCCATAGCAATGTGTCCTGAAACAGCCTCTGTCCCACGAGCTCCTTACATTAGGCTCTGGACACATGGAGGGCATTCTTGTAGTTCACTTTCAGCATCAATTAAACCAAGGTTCAGCTAATATATGTTTCCTGATCGCACATCAGCCACCCGTTGGAACGTGCTGACTGGTGAGATGCCAGGCTGAGGTTTGAAAACCCAGCAGATCCCACAGTTCAGAAAATCCTCTTGGGATCACTGATGGTTGTTTGTCCTTAGTTTTATGTTTCCTTTTCCCTGAGTTTTTGCTCTTACTAAGTACTGTGCTGACAGTCAGCAGCCCACAGATGAGTATGAAGCACCCTAATTTCTCTTTCCCACCTGTCATTACTTCCTATCTCACCTCACCAATCAAATGTCTTCTCCTCAGACTTTGCTGAACTTCGGCTCTCACACCTTCACCTCTCTCTTTACTTTCCGCAGGGAGAGGCAAAGTCACCTGGTCGTGGGAGGCACGACTTCTGGCCTCTGTTGATTAAAAGTCCTGCGTATTTGATTACAGATTTCCCATTCACTAATGAAAGTGCATCATTTCAAGTTAGCATGGCTCGTTCGTTCCTCTCTCTCTCTCTCTCTCTCTCTCTCTCTCTCTCTCTCTCTCTCTCTCTCTCTCACTCTTCCTCCCTCCAGTGTGTGTGTGGTCTATGCTCAGCCTTCACCATTGTGTGGCTCAGGCAAGAATTCCTAGAACAGCTCAAGTTCTAAAATGTGAAGACCTCAGGGAGGACATCGAAGCACTTGGGTTTGAGGCTTGCTTAAGCTGTGACAAATCCCTTCACCAAGCTGCTTGATTCAGCAGAATCTCAGTGCAGCACAGGTAGCTTAGGGGGTTTTAAGAGAAGGCAGACCTCAGAGCCAGAATTCGGCACAGGCACCCAAACAGAGCAGGAGCCCTCGTCAGGAGGGTTCCATGCCTCTGGGAAACAGCTGTTTGTCAAAAAGTGTGTGCTGTCTCTGCCATCTCACGGTGCACACGCTCAGATTCTAAAAACTGCTCAGCCGCGCCTTGTCTTTAATTAATCTTCCTAGACTAGCACATTAGGAGTTTGTTTACAAACAGTCAACCCATGTTACATTGATTCGGGGGTCACATGAGCATCTGGCTACCTGAGGGGACTGGGAAGGCCTTTTGTAAGGTGAGGGGTCCTGGGTCTGGTTCCCTCTCTGTCCAGGAGGCTGAAGGCAGGGAGCTTTCTGCTGCACGTGATGGGCCTGCCTCTCCCCCAGAACACACTGCATGGTGCATACTGTCTGCCTGTTTGCAGCCAGGCCATGTCTGGTGCTGAAGAACCTCCCAGCTCATGACCTGCTGCTGGGTTTTGAAGCAGCTGCCCTCACAACCCTGTCCCCAAAGCAGAATACCAAATAACAAAGTCCACATTCCCTCTGCAGATGCCTCACACCCGGCCCACAGAGAGCTGTAGTCAGGTTGTTCCATTCCAAAGTAAAGCGTACAGAGTAGAAAGGCAAAGACTTTCCAGGCCTCTCAGGTACATAAATGATTCTAGAATATATAAATACACACATAAACATTTATATAATTTTAAAAGACATTTTACATATAATATGTATCTTCAAATTTTTACCTGTACTTGTAAGAAAAAAATTGGATACATACTACATTTTATATACTATTGATTTATATTATGATATTACAGGATTTTTTATGTCTTACATATTTTATGCACTTTTAATGTATCAGAATAAATTTAAAATGTATTTTGAACTTTCTCTTGCAATGTGCATGTTCTCCATATTGATCCCAGCTTGGGTTTTTTGGGGGTTTTTTTGTTGTGTTTTTTTCTCTTTTTGCTTGACAAGCTCTTAGGGACATGATTCTATGTCAGCCCACACAGCATGTCTCACCTGATTATGACAGTCTTCTTAGAATTATTTACACAGCATCACGAAGCGTTCCAATGTGGATGGACCATGTTGATTAGGACCATAGTTGGGTTGTCCCCAGTATTTTTGTTACGACAAGTATTGCTAAAGCAAATATTTTCTACATTAATCTTCAGTACTTTCTATAGTAACTCTGCAGGGTAAATTCCTAGACCCAGAGCTGGCTCTTCAGAGGACAGGTGACTTTCAAAGTTTAGCAGGCATTGCCCATCCTGCTCTCTCTACTGTAAGGTTGATGACTTTCCTGTCTGCTAACTCCTAAGCTGAGGTGTTCTCCTTTAAATATGTATGAGATCACTCATTTCTCGTGGCAGCCATGGGTGTTTCTTCATTGATCTCCGGGAGCTCTTTGCATAATAGCTTAGCTTTGTCTGTCATACATAATGCAGATATTTAAATATATTGCTGCCCACTGCTCCATCACTTTTGTTTACTTGATGATGAACTTGAAACTTGAAATCTTACAGAGCTTAGAAAACTCACAAGGCAGGATATTGTTCCTTTCACACTCCTGCCTTGCCGTGGGCAGTTGCTCCTGCCCACATGACCTGGAAGAGCACAATGCAGGGATGGAAGAAGAGAGAGAGAAAGAGAGAGAGAGATGGGATCATTGATGATCCTGAAGTTTTTGTTCGGGGTATGTTTGCCATTGAAAAATCAGACTATTGGCACCACCCCAAAGAAAGTGGTTTCATATGGTTGAGCCTTTCTACATGTCTGTTTTTCCTTCTCCAACACACACACACAGAACACCTGCACACACGTGCTTCTAGAACATGAGCTCACCCAGCTCTGCTGATGCTCACCTACAGACTCTCCTGGCGTCCCCCCGAGTGCCAACGCTCATCACCTGTTCAGAGGATTCAGTTTTGTGGCCTCAAGCCTGGTCCAGGAGCCCTTGCAGCCAGAACTGCACAAAGCCTCAGTTCACCCGATTGTGCAGGTAACTCCAACTTCCCCGTGGGTTGGGCGTGGGTGTGCTCGGCTGATGCTGGGCTCTGCTGACCCTTGTGGGCTCCACACCCTGAGGTGCTGGGCGCCAAGGGTGGGCAGATGGCAGAAGCCTATCTCCCCCCACACTTCCTCTGTACCTTGGTGCTCCTCCCTAGTGATTGAGCCGTCACTCCTGCCCCTCCTTCTCATCCATCTTTGAGGAGGAAGAAAGGGGCCTGAAAAGAATGTCACCACAGATGTCTGTGTCAAGGGCCCTGGGGTTAAAACTGGAGTTTTGGACCTAATGCCCAAATGCCTGAAATTCTATATGCCAGGTATGGCCACTTGCCCTTAAATGCCAAATAAAGAGACATGGTGAAGGCAGAGAAAGGAAGATTTATTACACAGCTCAGGATATGCCATGGGAAGAGGCAGAGAAGCACTCACCCATCTTCAGCCTTCTTTGAGGTATAGAAATGAGTTATAGGTTTAAATAGGCAAAGAACTGGGGACAGAGGACAAAAGGTACACATAGTTAAACAGTCCCAATCACAGGTGAGGTCTGGTTGGTCATTCTCTCAGTCCTTGTTCTGGGAGAGGTTCTGGAGTTGTTATCTGGATTCATTGTCAACTGGCAGGTGGTCCATCCTGAGGAAGGTCTACTGTTGGGGTAGTTTCTGTCCCTTGTCATGAAGATGATAGCCGTCATTCCTGTCTTTCCTTGATTCCAAGGTGGATGCAAGGTGACTTCAAAGAGAATGGATCAGAGCATAGACAGATATAAAATGGAGAACAAATACCATGCTTTTCTCCTGCCATTAGTTAATTCACGGACCCAAGAAAGAGTCAGTGCTTTTCAGCAAAAGCAGTTTGAGCGTCTCTCGTGGGGTCAGACTTTGGCATCATCAAGCCAGTTCCCCACACGGCAGAGTGATTTGTGGGAGCCATGTCTGTGGGAGCCTAGTGGAAGATGACATTTTTTTGAAGAGTTCTCCACCATTCAAATATAACTAGAAAAGGAGAATGATGAAGGGGGTGAATTCAACTATGATATATTGTAAGAACTTTTACAAATCTCACAATGTACCTCCAGTATAATAATAATATGATAATTTTAAAAATGAGAATTCTGAGAAGGAGTGAGGATCAAACTTAGTTAAGAAGTTACTATGTGTGTTTAGGGTAAATTGGATGGCACTGAGTTTCTACAGTATTTCTCTCCCATGGCCTTGTGGGAAACTGTGGCGTGTGTAATGTGGATGCTTGATGTGACCAATACTGGGGCTTTTGTCTCAGTTTCAGAGTGGGTGGTGGAGACTGTGAGCAAGTCATAAGCAGGCTGTGACTCAGACATCCTGAGGTCAGACTTCTAGGCCCATATTTCTGTGCTGAGTCTCACTCTGGAAGCAGGCATCAGAGCCACATGTCCCATGTCCACAAATCCTTCTGTGTGTTTTGTTCTGTGCTTTCAGCTGTTCAGATCTTTGGGGAAAATGTGGCTGTGAGTGGACACAGGATGTCCTGGTGTCTAAACGCTAAGGGTCAGAGCCCAGGGAATCAGGGAAGCTGGGATTTAGATCTAGAACATTCACTAAGTAACTCTGTGACCCTGAGCACAGGAATCCTGTAATTCCTGAGCCTCAGTCTCTTCAAGTTCACAAGTGCTCAGTCTGTGCCCGAGTCCTGTGTGCATGTGGTTGCGTGTGCCCCTGCGTGAGAGAGTACTGAGAGCTGTCCTGTCTGCACCTCTCTGCAGCAGTTACACGGGAACAACATCCACTTCACCGATGGCTATGAGATCAAGGAGGACATCGGGGTGGGCTCTTACTCCGTGTGCAAGCGGTGTGTGCACAAAGCCACGGATGCAGAGTATGCTGTGAAGGTAAGGCGAGTGCACCTCGTGAGCAGGGGTGTGTGTGAGCACTGTGTGTCCAGCAGGCATGCGGGCCCACGTGACATCCCTCCATCCACCTGGAGGTAACTGTACCAGTCCAAGCTCTCCTGGGATGGAGTTCAGTTTGCCTTGATAAATTTTCAGTTGTACGCAACATGTGGGAACTGACCACGCATAGTAGGCTTATGTTTAACACGTGCCAAGAATAACAGCTCTGAGCACCTAGAGTTGGGGAACAGGCATAGCATTTAGCAAAGGAAGGAAGAAAAGAAGAGATGGAAAAGGAAGAAGGTAGAACTAAAGGAAAATATCAGCTGGTATTATTTACAGAAACTTGGGCAGCACGCTAGTAATTTGCTCTCAACCATAATCCAATTTGGCAAGCTCTACATAGTAACTTTAGCCTCTGTAATTGTTGCTGGGTTAAATATTTGATCTGGGATCCAAAATGCCAGTTTCTAGAGTTTTCTGGTTGGTACAATGTGGATTAAAGCCAAGGCTCCCAGCTAAAATCCAAATCTAATATGGAGTCTCTGCAAGACTCCACCACTTTCCCTCAAGGCTCTAGAGGGACAGGGTCCAAGCCTGTGCCACCATGGCCCAGCTGTTCCAACTTGTTCCCAAATACATCTGAAGCATGTGGTGCTGCCTGAGCTCTGCAGACAACATCTGGGGAGAGACGGACCTGCCAGGGAGGCAGGGTAGCAATAATTTCCACCAACTGTGACTTTCCTAAGCTCCGGAAAGATCGCTCAACACAGTGACCACATGGGATGACCCTGGCCAGCTACGCTCACCTACAGCTCCACTGCTGTTTTGTGAAAGCAGAAGTTTCTCAAAAGGTGTGTATCAACTGAGGGCGATTACCCATGTAGCACCTCGGACTACAGAAATTCTCAGCCTGGTTAAAAAAAAAAAAAGACCACAGCCAGAACAGCTCAGGATCCATGGTTTTTGACAGATTATCTTTAATTTCTCAAAGAACAAGGAATGTTAGAATGTAGAGGAATGATTAACTTTTGAGTCCAGCCGATGCATTCCCTGTCCAGCCTGCCCAGGCCCTCAGAACACCAAGGAGAGTCAGGCGACATATCAAGGGTAAACTTCCTGGGGGCGTTGTGACGAGCCTGCAGAAGGACACTACCTTCACAGAACAGCCAGGGCCGGGCAGCATGGCCCAGCCTGGGATGTTCCCAGGGCCTGAAATGTAGGGACTTTCCTCTTTCTTGCTTTGTTACCTCACCCTGGGGGAGTCCAGGGGGACTTGGGACGTCCAGGTGCTGGGCCCGTGTCCACTGTGGTGACGGTGGAGAGCAGGCCTGCGTTCTGCCTTAGGGAGTCTCGTTTATTTTTTGAAATGTGTTTCCCATTTGCTTTGTAATGCATGTGCTTCTCAGAATTTTCTCTGTGTGGTCCATTACTCATAGGAATTCTTCAGCTTGTCTATCGGGTGACCGCAGCAATCCTAGAAACAAATACATCTGCCAGAGAGCACAGAGAAACAAGTCCCTTGTGTGGCCAGCTGGGCAGCCTCTGCGCCTTCCAGCAGTGGCGCTACTGTGGGCTGCTCAGCCAGCCATCCTGTGACCCAATGACATCCCATACCCCGCTCTCACGCAGAGGCGCCATCTGAGGTGGGCTTTGTTACAGGGCTGTGACTGTGTCCCCAAAGATCTTGCTGAGACCACACCCTGTGGAAGCTCAAGAATAGCACCCCAGCTCCGGAAGAGAAGCCAGGTCCTGCAGCTCCCGCTGGCGGTGGAGGAGAGAGGCAGGCCTTCCTGTGTCTTTTTACAAGCCTTGGCATGCTTGGGCAAATGTAGCTGATGGACATGGAGGGAATCCCCTCACCCTTTTGGAGATGACATTGGTCATAATTTATCGTCTGGAAGATGCTTACATCACCCAGCACTGGACAGAGACAGACAGTGGAAAACTCTGAGCTTCCTGGGCAGATGTAGCTGAGGGCCCACAAATGCCCAGAACCCCACCACTGTTTCAGAAGCAGTCTGAGCTGCTGTGGACCTGTCATTGTGTTTCCTTCAGAGACAGAAGAGCCGGCAGTTTAGTGACAAATCGCTCATGGCCCATTTATCAACAGAGTTCTGGTCACTGTTGCATCTTGTTTCAGCCTTTTCCAGGAAGAACATAATGGGAACATCACTGGCCTTTTCTCTGTTGGATGATGACTAGCCCTGAGGAGCAAATCCCCCTCCTCTGAATGGAGGGACTAAAAAATAGCACATTGCAGTGCGCTTTCTGATGTGACAGAAATCAGGAATGTGGCAGGTCATTGTGTATGACCTGGATATCAGCTCAGTGAATGTCCTCTGGGGCTCAGTGGCTCAAATCCATGTACCACTCAGCTGCCACGTGAATGGTTATGGACTGAGCCATCAAGAGTCCCCCGCAGCTCAGGTATAGAAGGGGACCTGCTTCATCGTGAGAGACACCTGGGTGGAACAAGACAGGGACTCCTCATCCAGAGAAGTGTCCCCATGCTCAAAAACGTCCCCATGGTGTAACAAGTGGAGACAGGATGCGGTTGTTGCTAGTGACCAGTGATGACTGGGACTGGGACACTGGCTTCTGCCCAGGGTCGTCATCAGGACACAATGGGGGAAGCACTGTGGTTTTCATAGCTGAGGCAGGGGATGCTGTTGCATTGGTGTGTGCCATTGGGGATGCTGAGTACCACCCCTCACACCCAGTCCCCTCCACCCACCCATAGTGTCGGGGTGCAGGGTTGAGAATGCAGACAAAACTTGGGGGATTCTTTTGGAGCTGGAATTGTCCTTCATTGTTTTTGGTGACTCTTGGCAGTGGGATGACAGTCTGACAGGAGCTCAGTGCCCAGGACAACCCCTCACTGATGACCTCGAGCTGTGACTTGGAATGCAGGTCCTTGTGAGAGGAGGTGAGCAGCTCCCTGCCTCTGCAAAGGTCAGGCGCAGGCTGAGGGCACAGTTGGAATATTGTTATGTTTTGCATTATTTCCAAATTTTACAGGTTTTTAATCTTCCCACTGTAATTGCTCTGTCATCCTATAAACTACATTTAAATTAGATTTAAGCCAGCTTTCCAAAGTACATTATTAGTCAGCAAGATTGCTGGATTTGCATTTATTCTCAGCTTCTTTTTAAATTGAGTCTGCTGTCTGCTAGGTGCTGTACCAAGAGTTTTGGTGATGGCTGAAGTGAATCATCAGTAGCTGCCCTCCTCCCCTGTCTCCCCAGCCCTCTCCTCTGCCTGGAGTATGTTCTCAGCTGCTCAAAGGTCTCATGAAGCCTCCTTTATTCTTGTGCCTGAAAGGCTATTCCTTAGCTCCTGCAGGCAGCTGCCTGGCTTTCAGAGTCTGTGCAGGGATCAAGGGTCTCCTTACTGGGGAGATCTCTAGACTGTGCCCTCGTAGTGCTTGTCACCCAACCTGCTTTGTGGCTTGGATACTGCCTGTGTCCACACCCCTGCTGGACGTTAGCTCCAGGGAGCAGGAGCCTCGCTGGGTTTCGCTGTCAGTCCAACAGTTGAAGAAAGCTGTAAGGAGCATGAGGAAGGAGCAAACTGAATTTTAGAAGACTGAGGAAGATGCTTCTTATCATTGTTCGTAACAAATAACCAGCTTTACTTCCCATATGGATATTTTAAGTCAGCACTTACAGAAAAAATTGTTCAACGGAGAAGGTGTCTTATTGGTTCTGCAGCTCCCTGTGTTCAGGGAATCAGTCCCTTTCCTTCGTTGACACATTGACGTCTTTTTCTTGCACACCTTTATTTATGGCAGACCTACATCCCAGGTGAGGTCACAGGCCTGCTCTCAGGACACATCTAGGGATGTCATCGATCACAGAAGCAGAAGCTGTAGCAAAAGTGGAATTAGTTAATAGTCTGACATTAATGCGGCTTACTGTCATTTGTCTTCAAACATGCACGTGGGCACAGGCACACAGATCCTCTTCACTGAGTGTCCAGAGGGTTGGCGTGAGAGCTACATGTGATCAGTGGCAGCCATGTTTTCCTGTGAGTAGCAGCTCCACCAGCTCTCAGCAGCACACTTTTCCGTTATTACAGGTCTTAGTTTGCTTGAGCAACAGAAAATAAAGATCCTCCAAATTGTTCCAGAGCATGTGTCACCAGTTCTTAATTATAGGGCAGATGTGGCCGCCACACACAGGACAGGCTAGCGCTTGCTCTCCCCGAGGAGCTGGGATTTGAATTCACACCAGGCTGTCCGTGTAGAACAGCATTTGCACGTCTGCGCTCATTTCCGTACTGTGTGTGTAATTTGTCAACCAGAAAGGAAGCGAAATCAAGACAGATGCTTGGCCTCAATAAAACTTATTTTTAGAAGGACTGATTGGCATGGAAATTTTAATTTTTTCCACCAGGAACACACTGTGGTTCTTTCTCTCTGTCATTTGTTTAAATTAATTTTACAGGAGAAAGTTTCTGTTAGGTGTTTTCAAGTAATTACACGCTCTACTTACTGCCTTGCTTCCGACAAGAAATGGTTCCTTCCAGCAAGTCAGAGGAAGCACCCTGCCCAGGGAGCATCGTGAGCACACACGCTCTCCCAGTCCTCAGGGCCACCTCCTTCAGTGACTCCCTGGGAGCACTTCTGATGGTGGAGAGAGGCAAGACGAGGAAGATGGAGAAATACAGACAACAAAAAGGAACAGGGGAAACTGTGTCAGCAGTGGCACAAGTGCATCTGTATCAGCTTCAGCAACCAGGCGTGACTTTGTCCTTAATATGTGCCTGTGTACCTCATCTGCCAAGACAGACCGATGTCCTGTGCCATCCAGTGTTAAATCACAGTCCCTACGTGGATGTGCACACACCTTGGCTTGGCATTTCTAAGGACAGTAGAGGTACACATTGTGCTACCTGGTGACGCCTAGGGGCTACCTACCTGCTGCAGTGACCACCACCTTGGGTTGTGTCCTTTCCCACAGGAGATGAGAATAAGAATGAGACAGAGAGGACCGGCCCCACCCCTCCCTTCCTCAGGGTCATCAGTGTTGTCCAGGATGCCCTGGGAGAAAACCCCCCACCCCCACCACCATTTTGTCACCTGATAAAGGTTATAAAACAATGTAACAATTCACTTCTGCTCTAATCGGGAGAAGCCTACTCTACAATGAAGAAATTCACTGACATTTCCAAACCTACTCCAGCCATCCCCAGGGCCGTGCCACGCCTCCCACACTGCAGACAAAATAAAAACCAAGCAGAAAACTTTTCAGAAAATTTGTAGAAAACAGCAGCCAGCACTTCTGCCACCATCAGGATCAAGCCTGGATCTGAAAGATACAGTCTCTGTGTATGGGATCCACGAGGCCCAGGCAAGCTTGGAAATAACCCAGGTTAGGGGAGGGCAGAAAGCCAGCGTGTGAGCAGAGTGCCTGTTCCAACCACAGCTCTTCAGTGGGACTTCTCTACCCACAGTGGTCTCATTTCCCCTGCACACCCCTTCTTACTCCCCTGTGGCTGAAAAGTCACATCCTCCAGGCCCTGGCCTTGCCTCTGGGCTTCCAGGAAATCCTTCAGGCGTGGAGGGAACACAGGGCCTTTCTAGTGCCCACAGTGACTGGATCAGGAAGGACGGGCCCCCTGCAGCCCTTCTGGTCCTTCGGCCCTCCAAGGCAAGGACTGCCCATGGTAGCTCCAAGGGTCTGCATGTCCCTTGTCAGTTCCCTAAACTCCTGGTACACTTCAGCCACCCCTGAGTTAAGCCCTCCTCAGACAACTTTGTGTGTGACATCTAGTTTGTTTTCTGGAGACTTTAACGGAAACACCTTCTACCCAATGTTACTTTGGACATCACCCTGCTCCGTGTCGTCAACTTAACAAAAATATGCAAGTGGTGTTTCAGTGCATCAGTGTGGAGGCACAGCCACTTGGTCCCCTACCTGGGGTTATCAGGTGATTGCATTTTGTCAGTGTCATAAGAATAGCTCACTTGTATTAAGGGCTGTCTGTGAACCAGAGCACAAAGAGATGGACACTTGTCCACTTAATCTTAACAAAGGACCCTGGAGATGCACACTGTTATCCCATGTTTTAGAGACGAAGAGCCTGAGGCAAGGAGAGGCTGAGGTATCTGCCAAGACCTGGGAGTATATACAGTGATGCCAGGGCTCAGCCCAGGGTTGGTGGGGCCCCAACACAGCCTCACACATGCAGCCCTCCACGGGAGCTGAGCCTCCAAACACTCAAGTTCAGGTGCTGGCAAGAGAGGTGGCCCCAGACTGAGCTGCCACACACTGTGGTGTTCTCACCCCTCGTGAGCCGCTTCCACTCCTGAAAGGGAGTAGCAGAGCTGTTTGAGCACTGGTCTCCTCCACGTGGTGCTCATGCCCCTGTGGACCCGGACCCAGGGCCATCTCTTCATTTCCTTCACCTAGAGAACAGGCGGTGGATGGTGTTCGAGGTGCTTTGAAGTTCAGCCAAACAATTACATGATTTAAAAAGGTTTACGTATTATGTTTAAGATATAAACATCAAAGATCCATGTGTGCTCAAGAGTGTGTCAGATTAACAGATCAACAAGACAGCAGCTCCGATGTGTTGAGGGTGAATGTGCTTCATTCACGTCTGGACATTCACATCAACTGTTACTAGAACCTTAAAATGCTTTTCAAATGTCAGTGGGATCTTCAGGTGAACTGTCTTTAAAAACGATCGTTTCTAAATAAGAGCTTTTCTTATGACTTACAGCAAAGGAGCATATAGGAATAAAACAGATGCAGGTGAATAGACAAGGCAGTCATTTCTAATCCCAGGTGCTCTCTAGAATAGTCACATTTTTGAATGGATAAAACATATTCTCATAGCTCACTATTCAAAAATTACACAGGAGACCTCAAAGTCTCCCCAGGTGCCTGTCTCCCCTCCCCACAGAAGCCATGGTTATTGACATTTTTCTCTCCCTTCCAGGGTTATTTGTGATGCTCCAGGAAATGACTGTGTCTGTTTCCATTCCTTTCCTGTTTTTAAGACAAGTGGCAAGTGGCAGCTTAGCCTGCACTGGAGGAGCACCCGTGCTCTCTGTATCTTGACAAGCAGGTGTTCCTAGTGGAGCAAAGGCTTCCTCGCACTAGTCTGCATCCTGCTCCCTTGTGAGGGGACCAGACAGACTTATGCTAACAGCCTACCACTTTATCATGAAATCGTCTCTGGAAAAATGAATCTACTACTAAATTTCAAAGTCCATGCATGCATTGTAACCTTCTCAGATTGCAAAGCTCCAGGCACGGAATGTCCCCGGGGAGTCGAGCCAAGGTGCTTTACAATCTATGGGACTAGAATGCAGGGGTCTCACAATTGTTGTTAAGAAGGTGTTTCTAATGACCTGGTTTCCCTCCTGAGTGGTGTGTGCAGTGTGTGTGCTGTCAGCTCCTCACAAATGCATTTGCTCTCTGCACCAGCTCCCTCTCCATCAAAGTGGAGCCAAGAGCATAAGAAGGGTGTCTCCAGAGGTGACAGCCACCCCCACCACCAGTAACTCCATTTCTGACACCTGTCATAGGAAGCCATCCATCCTGGGGCTAAATCATTTCACCTGCTGTCCTAAGACATTGGGTACAAATGCTGGGCAGTAGAAGGAACTGTGTCCCAGCCCAAGGGCAATCCAGTCCGTGCTCCTTTCCCAGCATCTCCTGGTGAGCTGTCCCTCATTGTGTGGCTGGTGTGCAGCTCACACAAGGAGGCAGAGGCACTTGGTAGTTGGAGGCTTATTTGAAGAAGCAAGTTGAGAGCTCAGGCTGTGCAGGCAAGTTGAAACAGGTTCTGTCACTCATTTGGTGTCTGTGTGAGCCCTCCACACTCACCATCTGCATCCAGCCTTATGCTATCTTAAAATTGGTGTCTGAAGGCTGGACCCCTCTTTTTAAGATGTAATTCTCGTGCCAGCTGGGACAGAGGGGACTGCCCCTGAGTTTCCAGGCAGTTTTAGGAGACCCAGGTGGAGTATGAGGCTGGAGGGGAAGGAAAGGCAAGTGGCAAGGCCTGTTGGGGCCAAATGCACATCTGAAAGGGTCAGAGACACATCTGAAGAACAGTGCCAAATGTCTCCCCGTCAAATCCTGTGTCTGTTCCAGATCATCGACAAGAGTAAGAGAGACCCTTCTGAGGAGATCGAGATCCTCCTGCGGTATGGCCAGCACCCAAATATCATCACCCTCAAAGACGTAAGCAGTCCCACAGCCGCCGCCCCACCTGTACCTCTTGTGTATTAGGCACACGCACACACGCACACCTACCATTTATTTAGCACATGTTCTCTGCATGTCACTGGTGTTCATAGAGCCCAGCAGTGCATGCTGGAGCCAGTTCCACCCAGCATCTCTGGTCGCTAGTGACTGGTCACCCCACCTTGCTGGACCTGTACCCTGTCTCCCAAATCACATGACGTACAAGTATAAAAAAGGAAGTGCCTGCGTACATCACAGGCAGGCATGTCATCCATTGTCATCATTCCTAACTGTGACAGAGATGGGGGGCAATCAGAGTGAGGGGAGGACTCGGTGAGTCTTAACTCAGTTTCACAGCTTCTCCTGTGTGCTCTCTCTCTCTCTCTCTTGCTCTCACTCTAGCTCTGTGGAGCAGTTTCTGGTCCTTGTCCCTAGTGAGGGGGAGGGAGCAGGAATCAGTCATATGGAAGCGGCTGGCTGAGAAGTTCACTGAGCCCCTAACGCTCCTGGGGTGCAGTCTGGGTCAGGGAAAGAAAGCAGTTTTCCCCTCTTCCCTTCCAGCTAAGCCCCGTCACCCCACTGTGAGCCACCCTTCCCTGCCCCCAGCAGCAGGATGTCAGAGCTGTTTTCTTCCTAAGCAGAGTCATTCCAGTGTGCTGGAGTGGCCATTCGCCACCAGACAACTTGCTCTTACTCCACACCTAGGTCCTGGCCTCTCCCCTGTCCTGTCAGAGTCCTTGCTCTTTCACAGAGCCAGCGGCCTGGGAAGGGCAGCTGTGGTGCCAGGCGGCTCTCTGAGCTCGTGTGCACCTCCTCTTGGCACCCAGGTCTATGACGATGGTAAATATGTGTACCTGGTGACAGAGCTGATGCGTGGCGGGGAACTTCTGGACCGCATCCTCCGACAGCGGTGCTTCTCGGAGCGCGAGGCCAGCGATGTGCTGTGCACCATCACCAGGACCATGGACTACCTGCACTCCCAGGGGGTAAGGCCAAGGCCAAGGCCAAGGCCACAGTGGCTGTGGACAACAGGAGGCTGGGGGGGAGGGGCAGGCAGAGACCATGGAGGGGTCATGAGCTCCTCCAGACCACAGTCTGTCTGCCTCAGAGGCTCCTTGGCTGAGGCTCCGTAAGTCAGACTAAAGACAGATAGATGGACAGAGCAGCAAATGCTGGGGCAGACACATGGTTGCTGGTGGACGACAAGGGCATGTGGAAAGGCTTTCTCCATCAGGGCTGCTCAAGGCCTAGACAGTCTCAGCGATGACTTCCTCTGTAGTAGACTGGGGAGAAAGACAGCTTTATGCATTCATGCCTGCTTTTGGGAAAATGCGGGGAGGGCAGAGAGCCTGCCTTGTCTCTGCTTCCCTAGCTGACCCCACTGGGGTGACATGTCCTACTACCCTTCAAGGGAAATCCAGGAGCTAAGCTAATAAATTGTATTTGTGTGGACCAATTTTAACGAAAAATGCTCTGACTTAATACACAGCTGGATTTATTAACCAGTGCAAAGCAATGCTGTTGTGAGAGTGTCAGTTAGGTTCACCCAGCCCTCAGGTGTGCCGCTGTGACTGCGCCCCTTGGGCAGTGGAGCCACCCAAAGCCCAGGAAGTCGAGCAACTGCCCAAGGCCACACTCGGCCTCAAGGGGGCAGCCACACTGCATGACACCTTTTCTCCATCCTTCATCTCCATCCTCAGGGTTTCTCAGGAAGCAGGCAATTCTGTCTGGCTGGATGTTTGAGGTCAGATCTCTTCTAACAGGAGAGTATTCTTACAGGACCGACAGTGGAGGGCAGGGAGCCTTACACAGGGCTCTGCAGCAGTTGGACTCGAGTGGCAGCGCTTTGCATGAGGGCTTCGCAGATGCTCTGCTAAATGGCGGAGGTGTCGAACCTGAGGCCAAAGTCACCTGTTTCCTCTCCTTAGGAGGCCACAGCTGAGCCTGACTGCCCGTTGTGTCCCTTTATTTTCCCTTGTGGCTGCTCTCACTGCAATACAACAGGACAATTGGGACATTCGGGTTCCAAGCTGTGCAAAGGCACACGCCACATGTCTGCACAATGGTCCTCTGTCCCCTTAGAAGACATCGCTTTGTGCCCTAAAGAGGCTTTGCTGGCCCCGCACTCTCACAGCTGTCACTGTCCCTGCGGGATGTGTGCAGAGTGCCTTTGCCCCCACAGCACAAGTGCAGTTTCTGAGTTGGTGTCGCCTTGCGTTCCGGCCTGTTGCCACCACGAGTCAGCGTGGCTGTGACAGCGGGCTGGCCACTGGTGCAGCCTGGCACCTGACAGGGCTTGGCATACAGGTACACAGTGAGTTTCAACTCCAAGAACCTCTTTATTTGTGACTGTTGCCTGACTCACTGTGCAGTAGCTCCAAAAGCTGCTCCCTCTTCGTGGCTAGGAGCAGAGTCATTCAGAATCTCACGCATGTTGATCACGGTGAAAGCGGGTTATATGAGGAAGGCAGCTTCCCTCTCATGTGGCTGGTTTGCCTCCTGCTGCAGGCCCTGCCCCGAATAAACAATTCCAGAATGAGCCAGACTTCCTGCAGGTGCCCTCATCCCCTGCTCAGCCTTGTGTACGCCTCCTGCCCTCCAGGTCGTTCATCGGGACCTGAAGCCAAGTAACATCCTGTACATGGATGAGTCTGGAAACCCTGAATCCATCCGAATCTGTGATTTTGGGTTTGCCAAGCAGCTGCGAGCTGAGAACGGGCTGCTCATGACCCCCTGCTACACGGCGAATTTTGTGGCCCCTGAGGTAAGCTCCCCAGAGCCCATCTGTGTGCTCTCCTCTCCCGGTGCGGAGCATCTGGGGGAGTGGCGGAGTGTTAGGCATCTTAAGGGGTTTCTGCAGTGATATCAGGAAACCAACAAGGCCTGCTGCAGAGGAAGCGGAAAGTGGGCTGTGGCATAGCTCAATTGATAGAGCGCCTGCCTAGCAAGCTGAGGCCCTGAGTTCAAACCCCAGTGCTGGAAAAGAACAGAAGAGTTCAAAGAGCAGGTCTCTGGGATCAGCCATTCCTGCTCAGTTACATTTACCATTTCATTCCCCTAACTGAGAAACCTTTGAAATGGTGACGTTTCCACGTAAAATTGTCCTGCCGTGTGCTGTGCACAGTGTGGGTCAACTGCATATTTGCTTGAGTGTGAGGGTGAGAAATGACTGCCCCGCAGGGAGAGGCTGTGGTCTGCAGGTCTTTCACCACAGTTCTTGCTACAGTGCTCCCTGCCTGGCAGAAGCAAGTTCACTGCCACCGGGTTAACCTGGGGCTCCGCTGTGATTTGCAGCTGAGAGCTCGCGGACATGGCCAGGGTCTGTCTGCTCCCTGCCCCTCGCCTCAAACTCCTCTCCTCCAGCAACCAGCTTCACGGGGTTTGGTGTCATTGCCGTGATTGTGAAGATGAATCTGGGAGGTAGGGACAGGTGTGCAGATGGATCAGGACCGAAACAGGCTTTACACTCAGGGTGGGTCCTTCTGATGGAGCCATCAGAGCTGCTGTGCCGTGAGTGAAACATGGACAGTGGGTCCTGAGAGCGAGGCAGGGTTGGCACCTCGTGGTGTCCAGCAGCTGTTTGAGAGGAAAACCAGGGCCCTGGTCTGCAGTGAAGCTGCTATGCTCCACGCTGAGACTCGATGGACATGCAGAGGGGAGGCTGAGGCTGTTATGATGTCACTCATGGCTACCCAGATGCTAGAGCAACCTTGGCCCCTTTGGAAGTGGTCTGGTCATGATCCTCCACTAGCGCCGATGTTAGCATTGACAGGACCGGAGGGAGGAATGCAGTGCTTCCCAGGCCCTCGGTTGGAGGCCACTGTAGCAAAACACAGAGTAGCAAGAGCAAAACAAACCCAGGCCTGTGAACGTGGCAGTTTCTCTGTTCTCACTCTCTCTCTCTCTCTCTCTCTCTCTCTCTCTCTCTCTCTCACACACACACACACGTGCCTACCCTGGCAGCTCTCAGAGAGGTGGCTGAGAACTCTGCTTCTGTCACATCTTCAACACAGAACAGGAGATTCTTAGAGAGGGGACAGGACAAAGGACAAAGTCTCTGGGTGGCGACTGGAATCATGGAGGCAAACAGCTGTAGATGAGGCTGTCAGGGAAGCTGGTCTGGAGCCTCTGCAGTATTTCAGGGCAGTGAACGTCCCAAGCTGTCCCCAGAGGTTAACCCTGACCCCAATGGCTGACTTCCATCCTGGGTAGCACAGAGGCCTCTGCCTCTGTAAATGTCTGCCCGGCTTTCAGGTGAGTGGAGGAGGCGCCAGCTCTCCCACACCTGCTTCTCATCAGCCGACAGCTCAGCAGTCCTCAGGCCAGGGAGGCACTCGGGAGAGCACTCTGATGTCCCACAGTATTGGGTTAAGAATGCCTTGTGTTGTTAGGTCACATTGGCCATTTACAAAGCACCGTCGATTTTGTAAGTGTGTTCTCATATGCCATTTGGACAGGGTGCATGTAATTTGTCATGTTTCATGGATTCAGATAAAGACAAACTTGACACGTTCAAGTGACTTGTGGAGGTCACTTAGCCAATTGATTATAAAGCTAGAGCTTGAACGGTGAGCATTCGATCATTGGCATGTGACACCCACCATGCTGCAGGCTCAGCACACAGTGGCAGGGTACAAAGACCAAAGGGCTCCTTGCTGTCATCTCAGGAAGCTGACATGGCTGTCCTGACCCTAGATTTAAGGCTAACGTGGTAATCCACAGTAACCCATGAGCATCTGTGCTGCTTCTTCACTGATATTCAACATTTTGTGTCAGGGGATCGCCCTCTGCTGACATAAGTGGTCCTCGGATGCATTATAGTTCTTCTGCCTTATAATTCCTCAGAAAATTGAAGAGACAAGCTAGGTGCTGGGACCACCTGTAGTCCCAGCTACTTGGGATGCTGAGGCAACAGAATCAGTTGAGCACAGGGGCTGAAGACTACCTGGTCAACATGACAAGACCTCATCTTAAAAAAAAACAAAACATTAGCTGGGTTAGAGAGAGAACCAGTCAAGGCAAAGTAAGCTCCCCTGTCCCAAAAGGCAGTCACTAGGTCTGCTTTCAGCACACCTACAGGGAGCACAGGATCAGTGCTAGGATTTCTCACGCAGCCGGCTTAGTTACTAGCCTCTGTCATGTGGGATCTGCTGTTACTCAAACTTCGCACCCATTTGAAACACCCGAATAAAGGTGTTCCGTAAGGCTAGGAGAACGCTCGCCAGGTTAGTACAGTTTGGTTTTCAATGGCTGCAGTAATTGAGTGAGGCAGCTGGGACATTTGCTAGGAAAAATTCTATTTCTTACTGAAGAACAAATTATTAATATTGGATGAGTATTTCACCAACGTGACTAATGTTTAAAAGTATTTTTTCTAAGAATTTTTCTATAACCTTACAAGAGTAGTGAAGTTTGTAGTTACCATAAATCAAGCTTTGGACATCCAAATAAATAAATAAGTAAAAGACTGCCTTTTCCAAAAAAAAAATGCAGTTTTCTGGTCACACGGGCATAGTGCAGTTCACGTAAGTGTTGATGGAGTTTACAGTCAGTCTCCTTTTCTCTTCTGTAAAAGGGACTGTTAAGTAAACCAGGTTTTCTAAATAGTCATTCTTAAAGAAATTTCAGACTTACAAAGTTAGAAGTAGTATTTTATTTCAAGGCCCTTGCTAATTATTTTTTAATGAGTGCTTCAACTTTAAACTTGCGTTTGGAATAGCTGCTGCAGTTGTAGTCGTGTGTGTGACTTTTTTTAAATTGACATGTGCAGTCTAAGCGTTGTTTCGCTAACGTTGGATCTTTTCTGTGCCCCGGATGAAACCATGGTGAGAATGAGACCAGACGATGCCTGGATAAGTCAGGAAAGAGCAACCACGGTGGCTGCTGAGTTGAGATTATTGTTAAACTATAATGAGTGATTTGGGTGGCAGTGATTCAGCTCTCATAGCTGAATTGCTTGAGTATAATTTATAGCACTTCAGTGCTGTTAATTCTTAATGAAAAATCTGAAACCTAAATTGCAGAGTTCAAAGGTACTGCACAACCACTGTATCTGTAAATAACTTTACTTAGCACCTTTTTGTTACTTAGAATTATTTGTAATACAACTCGAGTGAGCACTTTGAGAAGTATTATCCTGGTGTTGCTTCTTAGTATTGACCTGAATTTTCAGTTCTGTCCTAAACGTTTGCACTACGGTACCAGCTCCATTCTCCTGTCTTTGTTAGTGCGCTCTGTACTGCTGGTGAATGCTCCTCAGTTTCCATATTAGCTGCCACAGGTTATTTTACATCCCTATGACTATGGCCAAGGCTACAAAAAAGAAAAGCTGTATTTGTATGCAACACTAATAACCCTTTTACTACTAATGTGTATTTCTGCTTGCTGTGCCTTGTTATGGCTGCTTTTTTGTGCTAATAAAGTATATTTGGTGGTGTTGTAAAAAAAAAAATTAGCTGGGCTCCAGTGGCTTGTAACCCTAACTATTTGGGAGGCATAGATTAAGAAAATCACAGTTTGAGGCCAGGCAAGAGCTCTCAAGACCCCATCTCAACCAACTGGGCACAGTGTCCTGTGCTTGCCATCCCAGCCAAGTCAGAGGCTGAGATCAGAAGGATCACAATTCATGTTTGTGAGACCCCATCTCAACAGAAAAAGCTAGACGTAGTGGTACCACCTGTCATCCCAGCCACCGTGGGAAGATAAGAGGATTGTGGTCCAACTAGACCCTACTCAAAAATTAACAGAGCATGAAGGGCTGGAGGTGTGGCTCAAGTGTTAGGGTATTTGCCTCACAAGTTCAAAGCCCTAATTTCAAACCCCAGTACTGCCAAAAAAAAAATTTAAACATGGAAGTATCACACAATCCGCCAAGTCCACTTCTAACTACAAACCCTGAAGAATTAAAAATGTGTTCATAGCAACGTTCACAGTAGCCAAAAGTGGAAGCACCTACGTGTGCCTCCGCGGGTGGATTTATAAACAAATGTGCGGATGCACACAGTGTAGTATTATTCAACCTTCAAAAGTAAGGACATTGTGACGCTGCCACAAATGGACGAAGCTCGAGGACATGCCACCAAGTAAAATAAGCCTGGCAGAGAGACAAATACTGTGTGGCTGCACTTTCTGAGGTCCCTCGAGTGATCAAATTCATGGAGACAGAAAAGAGAATGGGGTGGTCGGAGACTGGGGGAAGAGGTAGTGTTTGACAGGGACAGCTTCAGTTTGGGGAGATGAGAAAACTCCAAAGGTGGACGGTGTGGTGACTGCACAGCACTGGGAATGTGCTTAACGCCACTGAGCTGCTCCCTGGGAAGTGGTAAGATGGGGCCAGGTGAGGTGGTACACTTCTGTCATCTCAGCTACCTGGGAGGCAGAGAGCTGGGAGAACGAGGTTCAAACCAGATTAGGCAAAAAGTTAGCAAGACCCCATCTCCACAAACAAGTTGGACACGGTGGCTTGTCCTTCAGCCCAGCTCCTCAGACAGCGTAGTCAGGAGAACCAAAGTCCAAGGCTAGCCCTAGGCAACAACACCTGAGGCCCTATCCATAAAACCTGCCTGGTAAGCACGAGGCTCCAAGTTCAAACCCAATGCTGACAGAGAGGGAGTGGTAAAATGCTAAATGTTTTTTAAATTTTGTCATAAAACTGTGCCTCTGCAAGGGCCCAGCTATGCCCTGGGGAGGCACAGCCCTGCCCTGCTCTTCCCCTCCCTGCCCACTTGCTGTCTCCATGGGACAACCTGCTTGAGTGGCTTTAGTGCGGCTTCCAGTGTTCACCTGGTCGTGGTCCCCTCCTAGGTCCTGAAGCGGCAAGGCTATGACGCAGCGTGTGACGTCTGGAGCCTGGGCGTCCTCTTGTACACCATGCTGGCCGGGTAACGATGGCTCCCAGGGGTCAGTAGGATGCAGTGACCGCCTCCCTGGGGCCCATGTGAGCACCGGAGCTGGAGCACGATAGCCCCTGGGCTGGGGTGACCTCTCCCAGTCGCCCTTGTCCTGCAGGACAGCAGAAGGTCAAGGATAAGAGTCAGCACGTTCTTAAACAGCCGTGACAGAGCATCCAGGCTTTGCCCCCGATCCTGGTGCCCTGGGCTGCCCGCCCCCCGCCCCTGACCCCTGACCCCTGACTTTGACTGAGTGAGGACCGGCCACACAGCCTCGCCATGAGCCTGGGTTTAGAAACTGACGGGAGGGAACAGCCGGTGGCACACCGAGTGTAGACCTGTCGTGGAGCCCATGATGGAGGCTCACTGCCCTCAACCCTCTCGCTGCGCAGGTTCACCCCGTTTGCAAACGGACCAGACGACACTCCCGAGGAGATCCTGGCCAGGATCGGCTGCGGGAAGTACGCCCTTTCCGGGGGAAACTGGGACTCCATATCCGATGCGGCCAAGGTGAGCCATCCCCAGTGCTGGCTTCCTGAGCGGGCTGCTGCCACGACCGCGTCCCTAAGGACGCGCCAGAGGCCTTCCCTGCACGACGTCTCACTCTCACCACTGCAAAAAATGTGCGAGGTGAACATTTCCATTGGCTTAGCGCATTAGGCTCTGTGGAACAGATCCAGAGGGAGATAACAGACAGACGTGGTCACCAATGTCTAGACAGAACGCGCTGGCTGTGGAGGATGTGCCTCCTGCCGCTCTGGGGGGACCCGGAAGAGCTGATGCTGGGGTCTGGCTCCAGAGCCACTGCTGCCAAGTCACCTGTGCCTCAGGGCTCCGTCTTCCTCTGTCAAGGCCTTCAGCTGATCAGATGGAGGGGCATGGCTACTCAGGGTCCCCTGATTTAGTGTGGTCACCTGTAAAAATCACTTTCACAGCCACAGCTGTGCTCCTGTTTGAACAAGCACTGACCCAGTCAAGGTGACACCTGATTTAGCTCTACACTTGCGATGATGTCGCCAGGTGACTGCCCTGGATGTCCCCAGGCGGATCTGCTCGAGGTCTGGCACAGGGATGTACTGGAGTGACTTTAAAATAATTAAACTGGGGCTTGTCTCCAGTGCTCCCAGCTGTGACCAGGCTCACTTCTTTTTATTTTTTATTTTATTAGCATATAACAGATGTACAGGCGATATGTTGTGATATTTACGTATGTGCTTACAAGCTATCTTAGATTTACCCCAAGCTCACTTCTCTGGACCATCAGCCTCTTCTTAGTCTCTTTACTTGACGTCATCAAATGCTGTCTAATCAAATAGTCAACTGTCAGACTGGGATGGAATAGTGGTAAAGTGTTGGCCTAGCATGTGGAAGGCCCTGGTTCAATCCCCAGCACCACAAAATAATAATGAGATTAAAAATAAATTATAATCCAACCACTAGTAAGCTGTACAACAGCTTCCTCCTGTTATTATAAACATGCTGCAGGAGGGGAGAAGGAGGGGCTCTACCCCAAATCTGCCATTGTAACAGGCTGGGTAGTGGAGGTGATGGTGGAGGAGATGGTAGAGGTGATGGTGTAAAAGGTGGTGGTGAAGGTGATGGTGGAGGAGATTGGTGGAGGAAGTGGTGATGGAGGTGATAGAGGAGGAGGTGGTGGAGGAGATGATGGAAGAGGTGTTACAGGAGGTGATAGTGGAGGAGGGGATGGAGATGATGGGGGAGGAGGTGATGGTGGAGGAGATGGGAGAGGTGATGGTGTAAGACGTGGTGGTGAAGGTGATGGAGGTGATGGAGGAGGAGGTGGTGGAGGAGATGATGGAAGAGGTGGTGGTGAAGGTGATGGCAGAGGAGATGGTGGTAGAGGAGGTGATAGAGGAGGGGATGGTGGAGGTGACAGTAGCAGAGATGGTGGTGAATGTGGTGGAGGGTGCGGTGGAGGTGATGTGCAGGTGGGGGTGCAGGGCAAGGCAGCTGGCACTCAGTGAGCACTCTGCAAGTGTTCCATTCACCCACTCTGTCCAGGAGTTAGGAGTTGTCTTAGTTCTGGTTTCTAAAGGTTCCCACCTGGACCAGGACATAGGTGGTGGCAGCTTGGCCCTTGCCTCTTCTTCCTGCTCTCACCAGTCCCTGCGGTTGCCACGTGGTCCCCTCCCTCATCTTCCCCCGTGCCTGTCCTCTTGCTCAGTCTCCCTTCTGCAGTCTCAGGCAAAACTGTAGAGAGCATGTCTTTAGGTTGTTTGTGTTTTTGTTTGTTTGTTTTGTGATCTGGGGATTGAGCCCAGGGCCTCACGAGTGCCAGGCAAGGGCGCGCTGCCCGCTGAGCCACACCCCCACCCCTGACAGCATGCCCTTGCACATCCTGCATGTTCTGAGTGAAACGCCATGTTCTACCTGAGATCTGAAGCCCATCAGTAATGTTCTCTTTGCTTCCCTCTCTACACCTGGAACTGGGAAGAGTCGTACTTCCTGGAGACACCTGTTTCAGGGGCTCCTGACATCTTTATCAGATATTAAAAAGTGTACTGTTATGCTGAGTTGTGTTTCTTGTGGTTCATGGCCAGAAATGCCACTGAGCAATCCAACTTCACACTATATAAGCATTCTAATTCTTTTTATTTCACATTTAAATATGGTGGGAATCCTAAAGGAAAGATAGTAGACTGGTGGAAGGAGAGTGGATTTTCTGCTAAGTCTTCCTTGAGCAGTTAATCACTATAACTTCAGCATCTTTGTCTACAAAACAGGGGAGGTGATGTTTGTCCCCAGAGATGATGATAGTGACTAGTTAGAGAGCAGAGGGTACTGAGAACGCCTCCTCTTGTGAACAGTGGGCAAGCGTCGCTCCCGTGCAACTGAACGTGTATCATGCGGCAGAGACGGGCTGTTAGCGTGTACCTGAAAGTGAGCTCTGCATTTAAGCCAGTTTTAGGAATTCTATTGCTGTCACCTTACAATCAAGTAAGAATTACCTTTACTGGACATTGACGGCCACATATTGTGGACTCCCTGACTGATGATTGTTTGTAGCAAATGCTTGTAGATGGTCCTGATAAAAATGTAATTGCACACCTCGGTATGAATTGATTTCTACCGTGGAGTCTTTGTCATTTCAGCTTCTCCCTTTGGAAGGCTGTCATCTTTATTAAAGTACAATTCCAGCACCTTACATTTCACATCTGCACACTTCAATTCCCTTTGCATGTCAAATCCTTAATGAAAGCTAAGCCTTCTGTGAACTGCTAAGTTATCAACGGTTACAATTTCAAAACTGTTCTCCTGCCTACAAACTTGAAAGTAATCATTTGACCCCAAAACACAGAGTCCCCCTGAGGACAGTGGTTGGGGTTTGCCATCGGGGGAAGGCATTCTGCTGTTCTTCCTCAGCACAGCCCCATGCCCTCCGTCTCCTCTGACTCCTGACAGGATGTCGTGGTTAAGATGCTCCACGTGGACCCACAGCAGCGCCTGACTGCGGTTCAAGTACTGAAGCACCCGTGGATTGTCAACAGAGAGTACCTGTCCCAAAGTCAGCTGAGCAGACAAGATGTCCACCTGGTGAAGGTACTGAGCAGCAGGTGGTGGCCAAATGGCGGGCACAGGAAACCCGGACTGGGTCCAGTGCTTCACACTGATTTGAGGAAACATGTCAAAAAGTCACAGTTACAGGCACAATCGGGGACCAGCTCTTACACACTTTTGTCACACAGAACTCGTATTTGAGCAACAATATCTGCGCAGGGAGGGTGGCAGGTGTCATGCTATAAAGCCCTAGGTTCCAGAGTTCTGCAAACGTCCCTGCTGTGCTAGTGACTGACATTCGTTTGGATCCTTTGTCTCTCAGGCAGCCCTGTGTTCCAGGCAGGATGCTCTTCTAGAAGTGTGCAGGGCTTTCCAGGCAGGATTGGTCCACTCTGGATCCATCCTAGGGGTTTGGATCTGTGCCAGGATAAGCCCAGTTGCCCAAGTTAGTCCAAACTGCCCCAAAGTGGTAGACACTGCAGTTGAAGAGCCCTGAACTGACCATGAGTGTTCTGGGGACCCAGCTGTCCCCCAAACAGACCTGGGCTATGACCTCATCCAGGGCTTCACTGGAGTCTTAAATACTTTCTCCCAAGGCACAGCATCACCCAGGCTGGTGTGGGATGGTAGCTGGATGTGCTGAGAAAAATAAGGTTGCTGTCCTTTGTGGGTCACCACCAGCCAGACACCACAGTGTCTGCATTGCCTCCAGTAAGCCTGGAGGGGGAGAATGAGGCATCACAGGCCTGAGGCTCCAGCTTCCCACTCAGGAGTGGGAACACCATGCTCACACACTCCTCTTTGTCTTGCAGGGTGCGATGGCGGCCACTTATTTTGCTCTGAACAGGACACCGCAGGCACCACGGCTGGAACCCGTGCTGTCATCCAGCCTGGCTCAGCGCAGGGGCATGAAGAGACTGACATCCACACGGTTATAGCAACTGAGAGGTTGCATGCCAGCCCCTGCCCGCCATGCCTAGTGTCCTGGAAAGTTCACAGACACCAGACGGTCTGCTCATGGGCTCTGAGTGACCACAAGTCCAGCACGAAGGCAGATCAGCCTTCACTGTCTCTGTGTTTCCCTTTCTGCCCTGGAGAGGGTCCTGCCGCCTGGGCACATCTCCGAGCCTCGCCATGCCGACCTCGCCACCCGGCCTCCTCCTTTCCTCCTGAGCGAAACCAAATGATCACAGTCACCTCACCGCGCCTCCTGGAGCCCCAGGTTCTCTCTGAGGCTTTGGTGTTTTCATATCACTGCTTAGATGAATAGCAAGAAATTCTGCCCAGGTCTGAAGCCAGTGAAGTGGTCAGACTCCCAACATAGGTGTTCCTGTTACGATGGTGAGAAGAACGCTAGTGTCGGGGCCCTGTCAGTGACTGCAGATCCCTTTAGAAGGGCCAGGTGTGCCTGGACATTCCGGTGTCTCTAGCAGCCACATGGCAGGGCTGGCATTGGGGGGTCCTGCCATAGATCATTCAAAGAGTGTCCCTCCCCACCCTCTGGTTTGCAAGTGGGGTGCTGGATAGACGACTCCTGTCCCTGGCACTAACGTGATAGGAGGTAAAAGCCCACCCATGAGTCAGAACAGCTGTGTTTCTGCCGTGAGAGTCCCTTTCACAGGGGTGGAGAAAGAAGCCCAGAGCAGGGGCCACCAAGGCTGCAAGACTGGGCTGAGCTGCTCTGTCCTCTGGCCCTCTGGCCACAGAGACACTAGAGCCTCTCCAGAGAGCCTGGACCCTGCTGCTGGCCAGGTGCCTATCATCTCTCAGCCCAACAGGGGCCTGGAGGGAGGCGCAAGCCACTCTGGCCCTTCCACAGGTGGGAGGGTGTGGGATGCCATGTCAAAAGTACTGATGCACTGTGTACAAGCTGTGGTTTTGTGTTCCTGTCACATAGATCTGTTTTGAAAGTGACATTTTAGGGATACCCTGGGCATGGCACGCACAGGAGGGTCGTGGCTCACAGCGGAGGGTCGTGGCTCACAGCAGACTGTGCACTCCTTGTGTGGCAGAACTGAGCAAAAACCTTCCATAGCGACAGGCTTGGTCCTGGCTGTCACTGTGACTTGTATGCTTCAGCCCCCTTAAAGACCAAGGATGCACTCCCAGCCTGTCCCTCAGGCCAGGGTACGCACCTACAACTCACTACCCGTCCACTGAGGAGCAGCCCTCTCTGTTCCCAGTGGGGCTTGGGAGGCTCCTGTGAGTGACACCAGACTTTCGATAGGGAGACCACAGATAATTAATTTATTATTTCTTTTTCCCCCATCTTGAGTCACTCTAGGGTCCAAACCCCTTCGCCCCCCAAGAAAAGTGTCACATTTTGGAAAATAAGTCCTTAGCCTTGTCTAATTGTTCTGATCTTAAAATATAACTTATTTCACAAGCTTCAATTGTTTTATGAGGCTTTTTCTTTTTTTTAGAGAACCACAAAAAAATAAAAGGTGGGGATATATTCCCTACTGTTCCCTGTGCTCGTTGACATTTTTCATATTTTCTCAATGGAAAATGCTTTTTCCCAAGGCTGAAGTCAAATGCCCCGACATTTTTGTGTTGAGGTCTGAATTCTTTCATTTCTTATTGAAACTTGAAAGAAAGTAAATAGTCCCTTAGGCCACAGATCCTGTCCTCCTACAAATGTGCAGAAGTCTGCTGGGGATGGTGGTTCATGCCTGTAATCCAGCACTGCTCAGGGGGAGGCAGGAGGAGGAGTAGAGAGTTCTAGGCCAACCTGAGCTGCTTAGCAAGACCTTGCCTCAAAAACCAAAGGGCTGTGGATGTAGCTCAGTGCAGAGTGCTTGCCCAGCATGGACTAGGTCCTGGGTTTGGTCCTCAGCAATGCAAGGAAAGAAATGAGCACAATGCCCTGGGTTCAAAACCAAGTACCACCAGGAAAAAAATAAATGACAGATGTCATTAAGTCCTTTGTGGGCCTCATGCCATCGATCTGCCAGCCTGTGGCCTGGGTTGGGCTGTGTGTTGGCTGCTGGCTCCAAGCCTGACAGAAGCAAAGGTGGCGGCCAGGCGTGGACGTGGGCAGAGGGGCGCTGTGTGCTCACAGAGCCCACTCACCACCTTCGTAACGCCATTACACGCCTTATGTCTGAGCCCTAGCTCGCCAAAGGGACCGACGGCACATCACTGCAAGCTGTCATTGATGTGTCTGATGTGTGTCTGCAGAGGATGCGAATCTGTAAATCCCTCGGCTTTCCCACCTTCCCTAAACAGCCTGACACTTGAAATCCTTCCGTAGAAAGCCTGGAGGGGCGCTGATGGGTTCTGTTAAAGCCTACTTTTAAAACCCTCAAGTGAAATGCAGGTGACTGGTGGTTAAAGAGCGGTCGGTGTGTAACTGAAGGTGGCACTACAAGGCTTGTGTCACCAGTCCTATGTACCTCTCCTCATAATGAAAGGCTCCTTGTGCTTTGCACAAATGACATAGACTTCCCTGAAGTTCCCTGGCTCTCCCTGCTCCCAGAGCCCCAGAGCCCCTGCATCACGGAACCCACAGAATGTGTCATGGAAGACCCAGCCTGCCTCCCAGGCTTCCTAACCCAGCGCCCAGTGGCCCCACTGGGGCCACCATGTAGGCCATCCCTATTTGGAAAAATACCTGAGTCTCCCCACCAGTGGAAAGCCCTGCCCATCCCACCCCCAAAGTCACACGTGGGCCAGACGCAAGGGTTTCGCTTTTATCCTAAGGTCAGATTTGTATGTGATTTTAAACTGTGTGTAGATGTTTGGAAGATTGTGTGTCTTTTAAGTGGCAATAGTACTTACTGTTAGCCAGTGTTGTCATTAAATGGTGTTACTCCTGAGGACGCCATGGGGTTTTTACCTTAGGCTTTACTGACTCTCTCAAGCACGTGACACCTGCTCCGCACTTTGTTCTCTTTCTGACACGTTTTCTTGTCCCTCACCTTTCCAAGAGTTGTAAAAATCCCAGCGTGGAAAAGAATGCAGGGCCCTGAGGGCATGGAAAGGCAGCAGGTGCAGCTCAGCGTGGCCTGGCCGGGCTCCCAAGGGGACTCCTGGCATCCTGCTGTCTGCATGGGGCTCGCTCCTCCCCGCTCCTCTGCTCCATTAGTTGTGTTTACAACCCTCATGTCACGCTCCACCCTCGTGTTTGAGGCGGGCACTCACTGTACAGACGTTTATTATGCTTTCCACACTTTCCCAAGAGATTTTTTGAATAAACATGGATTTTATGAAGTGTAATTATTTTTCTAGCATAACCAGAACCTCTGCACTTTCTATGTTGTTTGGTAAAAGTCCACGGATCGGCGGCTCACTCCTCCCTTCCTGCTGTCTTCAGGCTCCTGCCACCCTCTGTCACCACCGCACAGCCCTCTGGGGAGGTGGAGCACGTGTGCGTGTCCGTGTGTGTGGAGGGTATGAGTTACAGAGGCGTTTGCACATTGCAGGTGCGTGCGTGCGTGTGTGCATATGGTGTGCTGACAGCATGCGTGAGTGCATGCCCTGGACTGTGTGACACATGCACTCTTGGGACAGGGCACTGGCAGGAAACAATGCACAGTCGTGTTGTGCAGCAAAGCAGGTCACCAAGGGTTGGCTTCTGGGGACAGTTGTTGCTGTGCCTTCTGCACTTTGCCACCCGGCCTTGAGGGCCCACACTTTCTTGACAGAAATAAGACAAATCTCTCTCCAACCTAACTTCTTCCCATTTGGTAAATTCCTAGTCAGCTGTGCCAATATGCCACACACCCACCACACACCACACCACACCACACACCATGCAAACCCTTTTGTGGCTGGCATAAAACACCCATGGGCTGGGTTCTTCCTGACACTGTTGGGTCTCTGTGCAGGCAGGAACATTGGAGCGGAAGACATTCAAGCACCACAATGAACGCAGCAGACCTCTGCGCCTGCCCCTCTCCGGGGCGGGGACAGAGGCGTGAAAGCTAGCAGCTGAAAGAAATGAGAATGGAAAAAGTATCTTTTAGGTTGGGCTCAGTGGCTCGAACCTGTAATTCTAGCTACTTAGGAGACAGAGATTGGGAGTATCATGGTTGGAGTCCAGCTGGGCATAGTTAGCAAAACCCCATCTCAATAAACAAGCTAGGTGAGGTGGTGCACAGCTGGAGCCACAGCCACTCCGGAGGCATAGGTAGAGGCTCTTGGTCCAAGTGCTTAAGACCCTATCTGAAAAATAACTAAGGCAGAAAGACCTGGGGCATCGCTTAAGTGGTAAAGCAAGACAAAGGCCCTGAGTTCATACCAGCAAAAAATAAAAAAGAGGCAAAAAACCAAGGTATCTCTCATGTCCTCTGTGTGACCTTCCGTTGTGGCCACAGGATCCCCACCCCCACCCCCGCACATTCATCAGGGCGGGTCAGACCCTGCGTCACCGTCCCTCAGGTCCTCTCCCGTCCCTGCACGGCTGCCAGGAGCTCCCAGGGCACCCTCCCTAGTTATTTTGGGGGGGTGTTTGGTTTTGAGGGTGCACGTAAGAACCTTGCTTATTGCAAACAGAGAGGGGAAAAGCACGCCCACGAGGCAAAGAATTGAAAACGCGCGTCACCAACAGCATCTTCCTCCCTGTGTAGCCGGGAGGCCCTTTCTTCAGATGTGCTGAGGTCACACAAGCCACCACGTACATGGGTCCAGGGATTAGACTTCGACACGGGGCGGCCCTGGCCTGTCCCCCTCATCACGTGCAGCAGAGCAGGGTCTGCTCACAGCGTTCAAGCCCCGCGTGTCATGGGGACCAGAGGAAGAGGAGGGGCTTTGCCCTGTCACAGCAAACTCCGCACAGCAAACAGCAGGAGCCCTGTGTGTTCAGCAGCCCCATGGCCCCCAGCCTTGTGGGGTGATGGGGAGTGGCCAGGTGGCTGTTAGACATGTTTGTGTCACAGCTGGGGACTGACTTAGGAAACCCCAACCATCTGGAAGGGTTACCAACCCAGCTGCTATTTGTCTAGGCAGGAGGGAGACGCTCCCCGCTTGCCACACTGGCCTTGGAAAGGGATCCAGAACCAAAGCTACCGTGACAAAAGCTTACAAGAGGCCATGGAGATTTCCTTCCCAGAGTAAGTGGCTCCCGTCTGTCACTGTTGTCCCCAAATGCTGAAGTGATGTCACCCAGGCATCCATTGAGCCTGGTGAAGAGGGGGCTGGGCTGTGCCTGTATCTTCTGGAGGCTCGAGCTCCTCGTCCTCCATTCACCCTCCATCCTGAGGATTACCGTGACTCAGTGCTCAGCCGATGGCCTGTCATGAAGGCACCCAGCTCTGAAGCACCCAGGGGCATTGAGCTCCTTCGTGGCTGCACGAAGTCCCAGAATTCCTGGGGCAGTCTCCCGACCTCAGGGCTCTGCATACCCTTGACATTTCATCTGCTCCATGACCTTCTGGGTAAAATGAGTAAACTTCATTTGCAAAACTGGACCCAGCTCACAACCATCAGGTCCAGAGGCTGAGGCTGGCGCTGGTCCTGACTCTCCACGCCGCGTGTACACTTCAACTTCTGTCTCCATTGCTGGGCCTGCTCAGCCATAAGTGCTGCCCTGACTCTGGGCAAGCATCGCTCCCTTCTTCTAGAAGGGAGAGAGAGAAACACAAACTCATGGTGTGCCCGAGGTGGCAGCCAGCAGAGGAGGAGGAGGGTGCAGAGCAGAGGACAGTGGCTGGCTCTCAGGACGGCTGAGGAGCAGTGTGTAGCCCACGCCTTTTCATTGCACTCGCTTCATTCCTCACTCATGGCTGTAATTCGTGATCTAAAATCAAAATACAAGCCTGGCACACTGGCACCCACTGTAGTCCCAGCAGCTCACGAGGCTGAGGCAAGAGGACCACTTAAATCCTGGAGTTCACGGCCAGCTTGGCAACATAGCAAGACCCATTACAAAAAAAAATAATAAAAATAAAAGACTGGGCTCCGTGGCTCACATCTGTAATCCTAACTACTTGGGAGGTGGAGATCAGGAGGATCTCAATTTGAGGCCAGTCCAGGCAAAAAGTTAGCAAGATTGTATCTCACACAATAAGCTGACTGTGGTGGTGTGTGACTGTCATCCCAGCCACTCAAGAGACACAAGCAGAAGGATTGCAATCCAGGCTGACCCAGGCAAAAATGAAAAATATAATTCAAAAAGTAACTAAAGCAGAAAGGGGCGGCTCAAGTGGCAGAATGCCTGCCTAGCAAGCATGAGTCCCCGTGTTCAAGTGTCAGGACCTCCATAGTCCCACGTGACATCTGTCCTCTTTGGACAGGTAAACAGATGGCACAGGAACAATCGCTAATGTGCTGTTTTCATCACACCTGAACTTAAGCAAGAAAGCCACATTTTCTAAATTATAGCTGTGCTATCAACTTAGTGACCAGGACATTGTGGCCACAAGTGTGATTTATCTAAGTCTTTCCTCCATTTCATGCACACCTGAGGGGTGGATACCGATCGCCACCCCTGACCCAGGTTCTCCAGGGTTCTGCCCCAGCATGCAAGATAGGTCATAGTACGAGGAACCTTAGACCGACAGAGCCAGTACAAAGCCACAGGCTCCCAAGTGCCACTCCATCATTACGCAGGAGTTGAACAGGTGAGGACGCCTTCAGAAGGAGAGATGAGCACAAGTTATGTTTTCACATAAACTGGAAACACCATTTTAGAGTCCTAACCCTAGTTACAAAATTCTCCCACAGAACCTAGAAGCCTCTGAAGACTCCAAAATGACAAAAGACCTCAGTCTAAAGAATCTGATTGAATGTCACCAGAGTTTGACTTCTACACTTCCCAGCCTAAAGAGCCAGGCCTGGTGGTGCGCAGCTGTGATCCCAGCACTCAGAAGGCTAAGGCAGGAGGATGGCAAGTTCAAGACCAGCCTGGGCTGCATGGGCTACATAGTGAGACCCTGACTCAAAAATAAATGATCCAAAGTGAATTTTGTCCTCACCGTGACCCTACCGGATGTCTTACACAAAAGGCAGCCAGCGCTCACAACAGGTCCTCAGGATGCCTCTGTGATGGAGCCAGGGCTCAAGTGGGGTCCTGACTCAAGCCCCAGTGCCCCCCAAAACATAAGGGGGTCCAAACAAGACCTCCCTGGGCACCAGCCACACAGATAACTGAGTGGGTGTGGGAGTCTCCCAGGCCTTGGGGGCAAACTCACATGCTGCCCCACCAGCCTGGGGTTGTGGAGGGCAGAACACGCTCCCCAGAGACAGCCCTGCAGCCTTTGAGAGGACAGCAGAGGCAGGAGAGTGCCTCTGACCTTCTCCCTCCCCCACAGCAGGTCCTAGAGCCTCGTTCCAGAGGCTCCTCCTCCCTCCAGCTGGGGGTCAACAATGTCCTCCTCTCTGAAGACACAGGACACAGAGCAGAGGCTGAATAGCAGGCCCTGCTGTGTCCTCCAGTTGTCACCAGTGGGTCACACCTTCCTGCCTCCAAGCATACTTCTGCATGACCGTCCACTCTGCATCAAGCCTAAAGATATTTGTGCTCAGACTCAGCGGGTGTGGTGGCACATACCTGTAGTGTCACTACTTGGCAGGCTGGGGTGGGAGGACCCAGCCCAGGAGTTCAAAACCAGAGCGGGCAACAGAGTGAAACCTGTCTCAAAAAAAAGAAAAAATTTCTTCTTGGCTGGGGGTGCAGCTTAGTGGAAAAGCACTTGCCCAACATGCGTGAAGCCCTGGGTTCAATCCCCAGAACTGCACAATTAATTAATTGATCAATTAAGCACAGGCTTCCATTTCTTCAGCCTTCACTTCCAAAGGCCCCCGAGTCATACAGAATTTATATTAAATAATTGCCTTTTGTCAGAGGGACCTCAACAATGAACTGCAGATGACGGAGGAATCTTTCCTGTGACCCAGGGTGTGATTCAGAAGAAGGCCCTGCTGGGTGTGGCTGTCCTCTCCCTGCAGGACAGCTCAGGGACCGCACTGCCCCCACAGCACTGCCCAGCGATTCCCAGGCGCCTTGTACCCTTAATCATCCTAGTGCACAAATACTTGGGTTTTCTGGAAATATTTGTTCCCGGGTTTGTAAGACACAGCCCCAGGCAACACTGAGGTCATGTAATGTCTGTGCTTTATGCTGTTAACATTTCTAAACCCCAGAACACCCCGGATTGGAAAGGGACTGTCGCTTGCACACCTACTGACTTCACCACATGCTCAACCTCGTTTCTATTTTCACTCGGCTCTTTGCAAACTATTTCCATAGCAGGAAATGACAACTGGAAAATGGCAGAAACCACACTTTGGAGACTCTGGGAACAGGAAGTGGACATCAGTCTGAGCCAGCCGCTTGCAGGAGGGGCCTCAGCTGTGGAGGGGAAG